AAGTCTTCGACTGCCTCACAATAGGCTCTCCAGGCTTCTCTTTGTTTTCGTCTGCAGACTTTTTTGAACTCTCTGAGGTTGGCTTGATATATAACCCAGTCCTCTTCGAGTCTTGTACGTTTTGCCTTGTTAAAGGTCGTTCTCGCTGTCTTCCTGAGGTGTTCCAATTCAGGGTACCACCATGAGTTGGTTGTGCTATGCGTTTGAACCATCCTCATCGGACAGGATTCCTTATAGGCAATGTCTATTTTGTTGTGGATAGATACTGTGTACCTTTCCAGTTCTTCATTGTTGCCAGGAGTCAGGATCTCTGTTTCCCACAGAGCTCCTCTTAAAAGTCGATTGTAGAGAGCTACATCCGTCCTCTTCGGATCACGGGATTTTACAGTGGTCCTGGCTTACCGTATAGGTCAGCCAGCGGTGGTCTGACATATGAAATATGGTCCGAGACTTGCCAGTCTTGGATTTTGTTTGATATTTTGGCTGTCGTGAGCGTGATATCTATTAACGTTTGGCTACGGGCATTAATAAATGTTGGCTCCGTGCCTCTGTTCAAGATTTTTAGATCTTTCTGTATTATATATTCGTATAGTGACTTACCTCGGGCGTCGATACCCTTGCTGCAGCTCACGTGGTGAGAGTCTGAGTCGCAACCCAATATAAGCTCCACTCTCTGGCTGAGGCAGTGATCCACTAATACCTCCATTTCTCTGGTCGATGGTAGGGTGGCTGCATCTGAAGGGAGGTACACCGATGCGATTATCAACGCCATATATTTGCCTTTCCCAACTGGACATTCAACTTCAACCGCAGTGAGATCTGAGATGCTGAATTGTGCCATCGGAAACGCTCTGAATTTCCTAGGAACGTAGACAGTCGTCCTAGGTTGCTGGTTGCTTGGTAAGCTGAAAATTTGACCAGTTAGGCTACTGAAACCAGTAATTTTGGTCTTTATTATCCAGGGCTCCTGGATCAAAGCTATTGCCTCCTCCAATACATCAAGGTGGTGACATAGTGTTGCCGTTGCCGCGTTTTTGTGTTGGAGGTTGCATTGTATTATTTTTATTTTTTTTTCAACGTCCTTGCCTATGAGACAGTTGTTGGATTGAAAGTTACCTTTAGAGGTCCATCTGCTCCCCCGCTAAGGGGGAGGTGGCCTCGCTGTTTTTGGGTGCCTCCTCCGTCAGGTCATCGACTGTCATCTGTTCAGATGCTTCGACTTCGTTTTCGGGACCCATGATGGCCTTGGGGACAATATCCACTTCAGGTGGCTCGACTTTCAAGGACCTAGGGTCTTCAGAGGTACTCTCTGCTTCTTTTTCTGTTACCCTAATAGTCAGTGAGGTAAACGCGTAGCTTAACCTCATCGACTTCTTCTTTAGGACAGCCATATCATCGTCTCCGATCCCGAAGACGAAAAGGTGTCCTTGTGGGTTCTTCTTAACCTCATGATGGAAGTACACCTTCTTGCTACCGTCATATCAGGGTTCTGCGCCTTCAGCCGACCCAGCACTATCTCCTTTTCACCGGATGTCGTCTTGTGGACGTCCTCCGGGATCCAGAGTGAGGCTTTGGTAAGCTTTGGGAGCTTATCCACACCGACGACCGCAAGTGATGCCTCCTCCTATGGCTTAATATTCATTGTGGCTTTCTTCAGCCACTCTAGCGTCACGTCGTCATCGCAGACCACTCTTATGATTTCACCAGAATGTCCACGACTTGAACGTGGGCGGTTTGCTGTTGTTGCTGGAGGCGGAGAAGATGATCTTGTCCAGCTCCTCCAACAGTTGTTTTTTGATGAGAGTCTCTCGTTCTGCGGTAAGCTTACCGTACGGGTTAGTCTCATCTATGATGGCTACCTTGAGGTGTCTCAAGACGGCCCCCACGAAGGTTTTGGAAGGTGCAGCGATATTACTGTCGCTGCGCAGCTTCTCCAACCTTCTTGGGTTTCCCTCCGAGGAGGTACTCGCGTGAGGGCGCTTCCCTGCAGTGGCAGCCGGTTCCTTGCCTTTTTTCAAGGCGGAGCTCTTGGCGCCCTCCGCAAGAGGTGCCCTTGTTGTTGGAGATGGAGTGGGAGAGGGGGAGGGTGCACTCATAGTTGCTGCCACTCCTGCCTCTTTCGCTCTTTTTCTTCTCTTGGCCTCGGGGCCGCTAATACGCTTACGCCTTGGCCTTTGCGTTACGTCGCGAGGTGGTCTGCTATGTCCAGCCTCTTTCTGAGCGGTAGCTTGGGGTGAACATTTCTGTTCATCCCCAGCCCCCGCCCTACATTGAGGTGAGCATTGCTGTCCACCCTCGGGATTGGTTGTTCTTTTGCTTTTTCTTTCGTTAGTGTTCATGTATGTTCCCACGAGTAGCAAGGGAAGGGTTGGTCACCTCTGGCAGAGCCCTGCATTACCAGAGGAAGACTAGTTACAATGAGGTTTCGCCCGGTTCCTCAAGGGGATCGTTCGTAACCGCATATCTCCCTGCGGCCATTCAGCTGTCGGCACGATTCCTTACACCTTAGCTTGGGTAGGCTGGTCCGCGGTGGCATGTTTTGCAGGGCTTTTGGGGGGTTTTAGTTCCTCTCACCCTACTTATTTCTGCCGCTGACCAGGAGTCCGGCAACCCCGTCCGTAAGGCCACATTGGCTTCCCGGACAGGGCCACCAGTCCCCTGGCCGTTCTCCTATCCGCCACCTGGAGACGCGCCCGATAGGTAGCCCAACCCACGGGACAACCATTACATAATATCTAAACAGGGTAACAAATAATCAAAAAGAGTATATTGCTTTATTGAAAATTCATATTTTTCATGTGCCTACCGTTAAATTTTGGTGATCATTGACTAGTTTCAAAATAACGGATATATCCAGTAAATGAACATCCGTTCATTTACTGGCGATTTACGCAGTAATATGAGAATAGGCGAAAATGAACCTAATGATAATGTAAAAAAGTAATTTTATAATTCCCAAAAGGTTTTTATCAAATCAACCTGAAACCAGTAAGTGAACGGGACATTTTGTAATATTCATTTACTGGGTGAGAGTGCCAGCAAACGAACTGCAACTTTTCCTTGGCTCATTAACTGGTGTTCATTCTTTAGCAGAAACTGTGTTTTTTTTATTGCTCAAGAAATCATTAGAACTTTTCATTTCAGAAACCAACGATTCCGATATTCGGAGAAAATATTGAACAACGCTATCGCAGACATTAAAAGCGGGAATATTTCTTTGAATAAGGCTTCTGAGAAATATGGAATAAAACTTCACAACAAACTATCGGATACGGTTCCAAATATAAGAAAAATGGGCCCATTGCTTTTTCACAGATAGCAGACCGGGCGACAAGTAGCTAAAATTATTTTTGGGAAGACATTCTCAAATTGCAAGAAAAAATACTAAAATTATTTCTAAATCCCGGGCATCTGTAACAGAAGAATCTGTTTGAGCATGGTTTTCTGATCTTCAAGCTTTCCTGCAAAATGAGAGCATCTTAGATATGATCAAAGATCCTTCGAGGGTTTTTAATGCAGATGAAACAGCTATCAGAACGTGCATGAAATCAGGTCTAGTTTTAGCACCTAAAGGTTATAAAAACCTGTACGAAGTTTCTTCCTGTAGTGAGAAAGAATCAAATACCGCAGGGATAGTAGCACCGCCAATGGTGCTACTTATGAAAGAATTCCGAAAGATCAACTAATTAAGAAAACGAAACAAGAGAATAAAGTAGGAAACAGCGAAGGGCAGAAGGCAATGAGAGAGGACAGGAAACTCGACAAAGAAAAATACGATAAAGAGCAGCAGACTAAGAAATCGATTGAAGACAAGAAAGCCGAAAAAGAAGAAAATGGCGAAGAGCAGGAGACTATGAAAGGAAACACAAATAATGAGAAGGAAAAATACGGCAACGAGTAGCAGACTGATAAATCGAAACAAGACAAGAAAGCGAAAAAAGACTAAAACAGCGAAGAGCAAGAGACTATGGAAGAAAAAAAGAAAGTGCAAAAAGAAAAATACGGTGAAGAGCACAAGAAATCGAAACATGGCAGGAAGTTTGAAAAAGACAAAGGAGAACAGTGGGTTGAGAATATACCTAGAATAAGACAACATACCTGAATCCTCAGCAGATATTTTTAATGTAGTATTTTTATGTGGTAGTTGAATATGAATTGAGACAATACTATGATGATGAGTACGAAATCAGTGTAATGGAACAAACTACTAGAGACCGGTGGAAATGGCCCAAACCAATCGACCAAATCTGGTACAAAACAAACGAAATTAACAAGAAAATTTCTGCTCCAGTTCCTTATAACACACGTGGGATTTTCTATGTTGACATCGATTGAATTTGATATTATCACTAAATATTATGTTTTTGAACTTATTATTGAATTGAAATTATGTTATAAAATCAAATAACATTGCATTGAACAAAATAATGATTGCGTTCAAATAAATAAAGCATTTGTTCATGGCGTTTGTTGGGGCGTTGGGCGTTTGTTGTTCGTTTATTAGGCTATGCTATGGTGTTCATTCATTATGTGTTTGGTAGTTTTTGATCTTCAAAAGATTTTATTACAAAAAATTATAACAAATTATACATTTTCATGATATAAATCGATTATAAACACAGTGAAGCTATCATAAAACTAATCACACAAAAATGAATCTAACGAGAAATATAAGTTATGGTTGTAGAACGTGACAACTATCGTTATTCGTTCATTTACTGGACTAGTGACCCTAGTAGCATGTATCGGTCTCAATAATTTTGAACAATGCCCATTCGATCCATGACCATTCTCCAAGGCGTATATTAGAGTGACACCAGACTTTTCTGGTTTCTGGAATCGTATGTGCGCCGCGTGTTGTTTTGAAATAGTTTTGATAGTATGATAGTATGATCAATATCTTTTTCAGAGTTTATAACTTTTCACAATCAGAAAAATTGATAATTCGAAATCAATGGCAAATAATCTTCTAAAATATAATACACTACGCCCTATAATAAAGTTGTCACTTATTTTTCAGATCATGGAAGGTCAAAAAAACATAGGCGTGTTTTCAAAAAATTTCAATGTCTATTTCAAACTAAATTATTCATGGCATCCACAATCAGTTTTGGGTGATGGCCTTCGAGTTTTATGGTGATGACTAACAATATTCGTTGATATAATATTTATATGTGTGCTCGCTATATGCTGGATTTGAAACGAGAGAACCTACAAAATATTTCAGCGTGTGCAGTGTTTGTCGTGATCATGATTTCATTCAAACTTTTATTAGGTTGTTTCAAAAGTTTTGTACGTTTCAATGTCACGTATTTTGTAGCTTCATATCTCAATAAATATTTATTCTATTGTGCCGTGGTATACAGGGTGTTTATTAAATATGCGGCAAAAAGTTAAAAGACTATTCCTTGGACTATTCTAAGGATATTTTGTTTCGAAGATACAGGTTAAAAAAGAATTTCGAAAATAACAATTTGGATAAATTAAAAATTATTAACGCAGCCGAAATAAAAATATAGGGTACTACACTGGACCTACCAAGTAATGAAAAATCTAACAATACCGTTGGTATGTACCTATCAACAACATTTCGATTACCTACTACAAACAGCTGCAGACATTTTGAATAGTATGTCTCGTAAGTGATCATTTGTTTGTGTCGAATAGGTTGAAACTGATTGACTTCGTCTATTTGACGTACATTTTCTGTGTTTAATATTTAAAGTATTGTTAGTGAATGACTACAGTAACGCAAAGATGGTTGACATGCATTTCATTTATTGACTTGCTGATGACAATTCATTGGAAGCTAGGTGATTGTACAGTCAAAGATTTCCTAATTGTAATGTGCCTAATAGGTAACCTTCCAGAGTATACATCAACGTGAAACAGGAGCATTGAAGCGAAATGAAGGACCAAGAAGGCCAATGACAGTAAGAACGGGAGAAGTAGAAGAAAATGTGCTGGCCCTGATAGAAGAAGATCCAGGTACTTCTACTCGAAAAGTTGCAAATACATTAAATATAAGTAACGGGACGACTTGGAACATTTTTGGAGATTATTTGTTGTACCCATACCACATACAACGAGATCAGGCACTTCTTCCTGCAGACTTTCTTCAACGTATTGCAATCTGTCAATGGCTTTTGCGCACATTGATTCAAATTCCTGGTGCTTATTTTTTTAACGATGAAGCCAGTTTCTCAAGAAATGCCATTAGGAATTTTCACGATAACCATGTTTGGGGTGAAGAAAATCCACATGATGTGCTTGAAGATCGCTTTCAACATCAGTTCGCGTTAAACGTTTGAGTGGGAATTGTAGGTGACTTCCCAATTGGACCGGCATTTCTGCCAGGAAGACTTAACCGGCGAGGTATACCGCATCTTTTTGGAACAAATGCTACCTCAGTTTCTGGAGGAAGTACCATTGGTTACAAGAAATTCAATGTGGTTTATGCATGATGGTGCACCAGCGCAATTTAGCATATTGGCTTGAGAGTTTTTAACAGTAACATACGGAGATCGCTGGATTGGTCGAGGTGGATCTCACTTATGGCCTGCGCAATCACCAGACTTGAACCCCCTGGATTATTTCCTATGGGGCCACCTGAAGTCATTAGTTTATACTACTCCAGTGGAAGATTTGAAAAATCGGATAATTGCTGGGCGCAATCAGAAACGATCATGATGTTTTTCAAAGAGTTCAGGAGTCTTGCATCCGAGCGGGGGGTAGTCATTTTCGACAATACTTGTAGATTAGAAAAATTACATGTAATTTTTGGTAATAAATTTTTATTGTCGAAATTCTTTTTCGCTCCGTATCGTCGAAACTAAGCGCCCTATCAAAAATCATCAAAGAACAAAAATCCTTAGAATAATCCAAGGAATAGTCCCTTAAGTTTATGCCGCATGTTTAATAAACACCCTGTATATTGATCGACAGAGAATTTTGTACTCTATACATTGATGCCGTTGCTTATTGCTTATTGATCGACAGATAATTTTGTACTCTATACATTGATGCTGTTAATTTTTTAAACCTTTTTCCATATATGATGTCGTCAAGCGATTTTTGTTCGCTTTTTCTCTAGGAATTCAAATTCAACCAAAGTGCTGCTGAAGCGAACCAAAAAATCAACCAAGCATTTGGCAATGATAGTGTTAATGAATGCACCTAAGATTATTTATTCACTTCAGAAATATACAAACCTAATAACCAAAGTAAATCTAGTCATCAACCAAACTGTAAATAGTAGTAGTTTCCTAAATTGCACTGGAATAATTAAAAAATTGTCTTTCTAGGTCAATGGCCATGGCATGCTGCCCTTTATCACTCTAAAGGATTTCAATTATTGTACATTTGTGGAGGAACGCTTATATCGCATCAACACGTTGTAACTGCAGCTCATTGTGTTACTAAACTACGTTCCAATAAAATTTTAAATGTTGAGAGTGTTTTGGTATATCTAGGTAAGATATTCTTGAATCTCATAAATACTAATAAATCATAAAACATTCTATTATCGGAAAAAATTATATTAATCTTTTTCGCTGTTGGGTTTTCGTGTACTGATTTCAATGAAAATAAATTATTTCTGACTAAGAAGTGGCGATGACGACTTTCCTTTCGAAAACGCCATCTATGAGAAAAATAAACGTAGCTCTCCACGGCGGTCTGTTGGAAAGCCAACTTTTGACATCATCCACTAAATTATCCAATACCAATACAGGGTGTTTCAAATTCGATCCTTACCATTGGGATCTCGGAAACTATGAGAGATACGAAGAGATGCGCAAAGATGCGCATTTTACCTGACTAACAATATGCCCTTGAGAAAGTTCTGAAATTTCCACTATATCCGGAAAAAACGGAAAGTTCGGAAAACGGTTTTTATTTTTTTCTGGCTTTATTTTTCGAAGGATTCGAAAATAAATTGCACTTCCACATTTCCACTTTTTCCCTGCTACGTCTTCCGGCCATTTTGGGTCTACCGTATTTTTTCATTGGCTTTTCAAACGAACCAAACTAGGTGAGATTTTGATCCACTAACTTGAACATAGTTCAATGTGATTGTCGTCATTCCGGATACAAGTTTAAATACATTTACGATGTCCTTACACTGTTTCTATCGTATTTGTAATAAATTTGTATCATCTTTTTTTTCTTCATTCGTGAAAGCCATTTTTCGCCAAAAATTCAATGACTTGTACAATAACAAAATGTCATTGAGTGTAACAAATTGAATGTCAAATTTTGAAACATCAAAGTCAAAGCCTATTATGATGAGAACAATTTTTTTTCAATATCTCCAATTTTTCGAAAAAGAATGATAACTTATGATATATCATTGAAAACGTAAAATCTGGTTCTACTCAAAACAGAAAGAATCCAATGTAGCGCCCGTAAGAAAAAATAAAGTTAATGATGGTAGCAGGGAAGAAGTGGCAATGTGGGATATCTTTACTTCTTTCATTATGCTAACATTATGCTAATATTATCTTATTATCATTTCATATATGTATGCATTTCATTTCTAATTACTTCCAATTATTTTCTTATGTTTTTTTCTCTTAGGTAAATACGATTTAGTAACATTTGGTCCAGAAGTTCAAGATCGCAGTGTTTCCGATATTTTCATTCATCCTGAATACAATCATTCCGTTTACTTCAATGACATAGCAGTCCTCAAACTCTCAAGGCCTGTGGAAACCACCAATTTCGTTCGACCTTGCTGTTTGTGGGCAGAAGATACTAGTTTAGATAGTGTTATAAGTAGACCAGGTACGTTTTCAGATCAGACAATCTGGTGTGCTTTTCAAATACACCCGAATCTGTTAAATTATCAGTTTGGAGTACGTGACATATTGTCTTGCATTCCAATCGAGTGGGCGTAGAGATTTCAATAATATTTCTGAAGTTCATTTTAATTTTTTAGGTACCGTCATTGGATGGGGTTACGATGAAAGTAAAAAGTTATCCAATAAACTCATGCAAGCCCAAATGCCGGTTGTGTCAACTTCTACATGCATTTTCTCAAACAGAGAATTTTTTTCCCAATTCACATTTGAAAAAAATTACTGCGCGGGTTTTAGAAATGGTTAGTATAAAATTCGCATTTGTTAAAAATGTTTAATTATTATAGCTACATAAATGATGATAGAGCCTTCTGAATTCAGAATTATTGGGAGAGGGGGAGGGTTTCGTCATCATGTCAGATAACAATGTTGGGACTTTGATGTTTCTTCTTTGTGAGGGATAACTTACCAGAAGCACTAATAGGTCCTGATTATGATATCTTGAGATGATTGCGAAATGTCGACCCAGACATCGGTTTTCTCCAGAAAGATAAATGCCTCAGAACCAGATATAATAATGTCAGGATAGACAATTCCGTTTTCTGCTTCGATAAGTTTGTTGGGGGTAAAAATTAACAGCACCACCAATATGTCTTGGCACAATCATGTCGCTGGAATTGCAAAGGCTGCATTTCAAAAGTTTGGAACACTATTCCTAACCAGAAAACTGTACACACCTCAGTAACTTTTGATGCTTTATAAAGCTCAGGTTAGAAATTCTTTGAAGTATCGTTCTCGTGTATAAAGCTTCGCACCTAAGCATATGCTGAAGCTGCTGGATTTCATGACGTGTTAGGAATCACACGTTAAAAGGTAAGAGCTCGTTAATCCTTAGCTCGCACAAGTTTTGACTTTTGAGGGTTGTCGTTCGTAGGGATACGACAGCTGGTTAACGGAAAAACATATCAAAACAGATTTTAAAGAGCCATCAGCCTGATTGGAGGTGCGAACATCACGTGTAACCTTGATAGCATGGAACATCGAATCAAGGTTGGAGATTATCTCTCTTCTATAGATACTTTCACGGGAAGTGTTCAAGTGACATGGCACATTTTATTTGATTCCACCAGGAGCGGTATATATCAGAAATACGCGACGGACTGTGGCTGCTCATCGTTTTGAGCTTGAACTCAGTACACCTCGAACTTCACTGTTCAGGAACTCTTTTATTTCAATCTCTTTTGATTGTAATCTCCAGCGATTCAAATCCAATGCACAAGCACAGCTCTTAAAGTGCTTGCGTTTTATCATACGAACGAAAACCCTCAGAAGTTGAAACTTGTGCTAGCTAAGGACTAACGAGGTCTTACCTGTTAACGTGTGATTCTTAACACGGGTTGGACGATAACAATCTGTTTAAAATCTGTTTTTCCGTCAACCAGCTGTCGCATCCTTACGAACGACAACCCTCAGAAGTCGAAACTTGTGCGAGCTAAGGATTAACGAGGTCTTACCTTTTATCGTGTGATTCCTAACAAGTGAAAATCGAGCGTTCAGCCTGCGGCTTGAACCATCGACTCACACATCGACCGATTGACTGAGTGAACAACGCACCCACGTTGAACCGCCCGGCTACCGACCGACCTTATTCACCAACAGGAGCCAACATCTTTTTGATTTAGATGGTGACTTTTTTTGACTTCAAATCATTTATAATATGGACTTTATTCACCAACAGGAGCCAACATCTTTTTGATTTAGATGGTGACTTTTTTTGACTCAAAGTTATCAATATTTTCAGAAAAATTTGGTGAGTTAATAATTTCATTCGCATATTTTTGTCCCAGGTCACTTTATTGAACGTTAATATTCTTGACAAAAAAATTCTCGGCAATTTATTCTTTAGCTAATTTCTATCGATGATATATGCGTTTTGTTCTTTTGTTTAGGACAAATTATATTCAAAGCGTTCCATAGTCCATTTGAAGAGTGTGAACTCTTTTCTAAAATATTATTCATGTACTTACTTGTTCTTTGCTTGGCTTATAATTCGTCTTAGTCTAGTTTTGATGAGCCTGTATCTATCTTTCAATATATTATTATTAGGACTGTTCCGTATCTGGATATATAGTTTTTTTTCCTCCTTTTGAAGATTTGTGAATGTCGAACCAATGTCCATGAATGGATTGTTTATCAAATTTTTATTAATTTAATTTCGAATTATTTGAGAATCTGTTGAATGAGCATATTGTTTGCTGTTAATTTTGAGCAACAGATTTGAAGGTAATATGATAGATGTTGCCGCTACGTGGTAGGAAATCATAATGAAAAAAAGGTAATTGAAATTTTCTATGTTTTTACCACTTTTATTTGTAACTAACGTTACTGCAGTTTCGTCCTATAAGGCATTTTCAAACTTATACATTAAACTAATAATGATTGATTACATCAGTCCTTATATAACACTACTGTAGGTACCTCAATTATTACCTACAGCAGTGTTATATAAGGGCTAATGTAATCAATCATTGTCGCTCGGTAGCCGGTCGGTTCGACGTGGGTGCTTTGTTCACTTATTCGAATTGACTGCCGTGTTGGTCGGTGGTTCAAGCCCCAGGCTGAATGATCGATTTTCACTTGCTATCGTCCAACCTGTGTTAGGAATCACACGTTAAAATGTAAGACCTCGTTAATCCTTAGCTCGCAAAAATTTCTACTTCTGAGGGTTGTAGTTCGTAGGGGTGCGACAGCTGGTTAACAAGAAAACAGATTGTTAGTTTAATGTATAAGTTTGAAAATGTTCTTATAGAACAAAACTGCAGTAATGTTAGTTATACAAATAAAAGTGGTAAAAAACAGAAAGTTTCAATTCTCTTTTCTTCATTAAGATTTGAATGTCTTATCAGTGAGAAAAAAGTGAAAAAGTACAAATGCAAGGAGTCACCTGTGGTTTCGTTTAAAAGATTTTGTATTTTGTTATTGTATTCTATGGTCTTTCTTCACCCTGTCTCGATATTATTTTCGAGGATTAAAATCATTTTAGCTCATAATATTATCAATATCATTTCAGAAACATGCTTTACTTTAAAGGAACAACCTCCGTTGAGAGTGATTATGTGTATTTTATTACAGGTACTTCGGTATGCAATGGAGACTCGGGAGGGGGCATGGTGTTTCCTAAGACAGGAACTAGAGGGCAGAACACAGTTTGGCAGCTGAGAGGAGTTATTTCTGTTAGTGTAGCACTTCAAGGTCATGGAGTGTGCGATACGTCACAATATATACTTTTCACCGACGTTGCCAAACACTTGTCTTGGATAAAACAAACAATGTCATATTAGACTTCCAACAATAAACACATTGACGTATCAGTATTCTTTTCACGGCACTGCAGTTTCATGGCAGTTGGTAACGTGATGGAAAATTGACGAATCATCTAGCGGGAACCAACAAAGAAATAATTAAACAGCTATTTGGGGAAGATATTTTCATGTGAATGGATTTAATTCTATCAACACGTTTCGCGCCTTGTAGCCACCGGTGGATAGTGTTATTTAATCCCAACAGCAAATTACCTTCTGAGGCCACGTTCACCTGTAGTTACAGAAAACAATACTGAAGAAACACAATTTTCATTGAAAAACAACAAAAACAACATTCAACATAAATACCTGAATATTAAAAAAAAACAGTCCCAAAAATGAAATTTTGCAGTATTCACAGGTATGCATCGACGCTAAAGGTGTGATTCCTTAAATTTTCGAATATGATGTCAAATTCAGGGTGTATATGTAATAAATTTATAAAGTATAGATTCATTCTTGTTTTACATATCTGCTGAAAAAAAGTTCTCACTTCAGATTTCATGCAATTGGAAGTGTCTGTTATCCGCATTTTTTCAGCAGGTTGATGTGATTGTAATTTTTCGTAAAATGAGTAGTGATTATACTAAGCATGTGTGATAAAAATGAGAAAATGTGATCAGGGATGGAAAATTATAAGAGAATTAGTGATGTGTGTTTCTTAATTAATATTTTCAGGCCTTTAAGTTTTAATTTTACCATTACCTTTCGAAATTTTCGATCGTATCGTTCGTATCGTTAATTTTATCATTTGAATGTTTCCAATCAAATTTCTGTTCATTTCAAGTCTTCAATGAAATTATTTGAATAATTTTTGCCAGATTGGTGATTATTTTAACATTTTCCCACATTTTATACTCGTATTTGTTATAAAAATATATTTTTCAATAAAACAGCATTTTTATTGAGTTAAAGTTTAGAACTCTATATGACTCTTGAGTATGACACCGTGTTGAGGTTTGTTTTTGTATTACATAGATCTGTTTCAAAATATTAGATAGGTACCTACTGATTTCATTGAGTTTGCAACCACTTTTCATGTTTTCTAAACTGAAAATAACAAGAATTCATTATCAAAAGTTGTTTCAGGTGTATGTTTTGTTCCTGTTTGTATCTGAACGAAACATGTGCACACGATCAACTCACCTTTGTAAAGAGTTGAGTTTTTATTGGTGTATTTTTTGTCAATTTTCGTTCAAAGGTCCACATTTTCTGTTCAAATAGTAAAATTAAAGTTCATTTTCTTTGGAACCTCTATTTTCAGCCAACAAATACATTTCTCTGAGTATGAAGGAGAACCATGGAGTATCGATTTCAAATTGGCATATTATTAAAATTTGAGATATCTACGACCAGTTCTGAAATTAATTGGACGTATTCGGTGGTGGAGAATTTGATACAACTCCAACTGTTGGTCAGAATAACAAAAACAAAACGTACTCCGAAAAGAACTACTGAACAACAGTGGTGTTTTTGACATAAAATAAATAAAGTAAAATTACGTATCCCACCTATTCCAAAATATTCCTGCTACGAGGCGACATATTCTTGGGGTAACCAGGACATTCGAATAGCGGTGACGTGAAGCTGTGTTATTACTTCAATAGTCCTTCGGAAGCTCTTTGTTGACCCATTCTGTCTCAGAGCAGAATTTGTCTCACATGGACGTCTACCATTGTTCGGATGGAACTGGAAACTTCTGCAGACCGACATAAGCCATCGTGATGCCTCAGAAGGTGTTTTCAGTCATAATGATTCCATTCATATCGCAAATTTATCGATTTTATAGGATATGAACTTCAACGAGAGTTTGCCGGTATACAGGACAGCTTTTCCCACTGAACGTTAACTATTACCATCGGATGATGGACAGTGGTCTCAATAGTCGGGTTACCAGATTTACTTTTATCTAATGAACCGGAGATGAAACACACCGGAATGTCGCCTTTGTATGTGGAAGCCCTCTCAAAATTCGTGGAGAGGAATATGATCTTGGAATGATGTAAGACAGTCTGTTGGGTGTGAGGAGAGTGTTTGTGGATGCGGGATAAAGAGTGACATAGTATGACCGCGAATAGGCTTTGGTGGTATTAGAGAGATATATATGTAGAGTAGAAAAGGTTGCAAAAGTGCAGGAAAAAATCGAGGAAAGGGGGATTGAGGAGGATAGGGGTGTATTTGTAGCAAAAAGACATAATAGAGTGGATGATTAAAACAGAAACACTACTTGAGGAAGAAACGAGGAAATACATAGGAGAGGTAATTGTGTGCTAAATAGCAACAATATTGAGAATAATGTGATAAAGTATACTGTTTCTTCGAACTTCTTTTTGAAATAAGTCTAGGTGGACCAACTCAAACGAGACAGTACCTGCATTTTGAATTCATATCCACCATTATTCTATTGAGAATGGAATCGTTAAGGTCCCAATTAATCACACATTCACTTTGTTCAATGCCCAGGCTCTTCAATAACTTAGATACCTCAAAAAACTGTTGATTAGCAGAAAATACTTCACAACTAGTGCTATCACTTTCTTATGTCTAATGATTGTCAGAAAATATAAGAATTGGATCAAAGTGTAACACCATCCGATGGCTTTATATACAGCCCCCTGAATAACGACCAATATGCATATCAAACCGGCATATCAACAGATTTAGTATTAAACAACCTTGTAGAGAAAATTTCCCAACCTCTTAACAACTAGGAGATGGCAGTTGCTGTATTTCCCGATATTGAAGAAGCATTTGACAATGCACTAACTAAATCTATAGGATCATCCCGGGCTAGGAAAGGCAAAAAATCGGTCATAACTATCTGGATCTATGCCATGCTGGTAAACAGCATTTTCCCTCAATGGTGGGGTTATTCCATTCGCAACGGAGGTGAACTATCTTAGCATCATCTTTGATAAATAGTCACTTGGAACGCACACTTGGAGAAAGTTTTACACTATCCCTATGGACTTGTCGAAGGATTTGTGGTAAAACTTGGGGTTTAGATTCCAAACAAATCCATTGGATTTACGTGATGATTGTCTGACGAATGATCACTTATGAAGTAATTGCCTGGTGGCCGAAGGCTTTACAGAAAACGGTTCAGGCGAAGCTCTCTGAGTTACAGAGGCAGGCTTGTCTGACTATCTGTGGTGCCATCAGATCACACCGTCAGCGGCCATGGAGATCCCTAGATCTACCTCCCCTCCACACCTGGCGAGAGAGGCTGGATGGACTGCATATAGACTTGTGCACATCGCCAATTGCACAAATCAGTCTAATGCAGAGTACAATAGACTGCTGTCTACTACAAACTGCCTTATACAGTACTGTTCCCCAGTAGAGAGGACTAGATCCTCCGGGTGAAGGAAATATTAGGAGCAGATATTTGTTGGTTCACAGATGGATCAAAAACACCTTCAGGTTCTGGTGCACATGTTTTCAGTCGCAGACCCACGACAGGAATATCAACCCGCCTAGATACCTATGCGACTATATTTCAAGCGAAAGTCTATGCTATTGAATTGCGTGTGGTAGAATTCAACCTCATACACAATTCAATGAAAATATTCTCGGACAGTCAAGCGACGTCCGAAGCTCTTGGGTCCTACTGAGTAACGTCTTAATTGGAAGCAAATTGCCAACGACTCTCCTCAATGGGAAGACTTAACAAACTGTCTCTGATCTGGATTCCTGGCCATACTGGCCTGGAAGGCAATTAGGCTGCTGGCTCACTTGCAAAGGAGGGTGCCGTCATTGGCTTCGCTCTGGGCTGGGCTCTGGCAAAATAACTTCGAACACCTGGATGGCAAGAAGATTTATGGCCGTCTACTGACGAAATCTTCCAGGATTATCACACTTCAAGGAGTTCATTCACCCCTCGAAGCTTGAAATCAAACAGTTGTTGGGCTACAGTAGGGATGAACCACGATGTCTAAAAGGCCTTCTCACAGGTCACTGTCGTCTGAATCATCATATGCAGAGACTCGGACTGTCGGAACACAGTGTGTGTCGCCTCTGATTGGAAAATGATGAAATAGCAGAGCACATACATTGTATTTCAACATCCAAATAAATCAACAGTGGGTCTGTTGGAAAGGTAAGCTTCTACATCGAACATCAAATGAAAAATCATTCAAAAAAAATCACCTTCGTAAACTTATTTTAGTGCCCCCGTATTCATACTCGTATTTGCGATGGGAAATTCCAAAATCAGACGATATCGACAATAAAAAGCAACACTTTCTGACTAGTTCTTCGAAACAAAACTGTAAATAAATCAAGAATAATATATGACTTATCTCAAGATGAGGTAATGAGGTAATTTGAATGCAAATTTAATCGAAGTGAGCAAGTGGTTTATACTACTTGTAGGGAGTAGAAATAGAAATAATGGTGAGTATTAACAATTACAACTATTATTTACGTTCTGGCGCAATATGTATGATCATAACCTCTTTCATTTCATTGAACTTAGTGTTTCTTTTTTAAGCTTACGACTGTTTTCAATTTCAGATTATACGAGGTATCCTCGTTTATATAGTGGCAATACTTAGAGTTCAGGGAGATGTGGAGTCCCCATGCCCCAAATATTTCTTATTTGAGCCTAATAAATCCGAAGACGATCGGTGGTATGGACTGATTACACTGGAAAGTAAAGTTGACATAATGGGAGTAACACTGAAAGTGAAATTCGATAAATCCATTATTCAATTGGGGGTGAGTACAAAGTGTAATCAGAGTCGGATTCAGGTAATGAAAACTTAAATAAAACATAATTTCCAAAAATATGAAGTGAACGATTGTTTGTAAAAAAAGTCGAGCATCAGCGGAACCTTTTTAATATCTTCAACTGTAAAACATACCAAAGCGCTCTCACTGAATTTAAAGACTAGTGAAAACGACAAATTCATTTACATTTTGATTGTTAGTATCCAGAATCCACAATCGTCTTAGCACGAAGAGTTGATTGATTTATTTCGATAGTAAGGGAGCTTATTTTTATGTCGGTTTCAAGGTATTTTTCAAAGAGTTTCGAGCATTTCTAATTTCCACGATGGGTTCTTCTTGTGATTCAGAGTATCTAATAGACGCAATTCTGTCAGTGACCGTTTACGTTTCGTAGTTAGATCTTCATAAAGGTTATTGAGCACTGTGTAGCGGGATCTGAAGCAGGTTTTCATTTTGAATTTAGATCTGACTCTTTCGATTTTCTCTAAAGCCGTTTTACAGATAGCACCGGTTGTGTCGTCTTTTCACCTTCAGTGTTTTGTAGTTTTCGGTCCGAATGTTTGGTCTATCAATTGTTTGAAGTAACTGCTGGTTATCCTTCTTGAATTGTTTCAATTATTTATTGAGGGTTGTAGGATCAATTAGCACTTTGACGATTTTACTGTTGGTAAATGAGTGGTGGATATATTCATATTTCAAGTACTGAGCAAGTTGTGAGGTACCAGCTGGAAATTTGAAAAAAGATTTGAAAAGATCAATGAATTTGCGTAAAAAAAGTCCCGACTCCCGAAACTGTATCTCGATTATTTATAATTTTTACAGAGCCCTGAAAATAGAGCCAAAAGCAGGTAGTCTGGCTTCCTGGCCTTTCGTCACTCTGACATAAAAACATTTAATAATTATAGGGATTTTTACTTTTTACTTTCAATTCAGAAAAAGTTATTAATTAACAAATTTATAATTATCGTTAAAATTGGGATGAACATTTTTTGACTGCGGATTATTGTTTACTGATGTATCCCAACATTACATGTTTTTATGTTAGAGTGACGAAAGGCATGCGGAAGCCAGACTACCCGCTTTTGCTCTATTTTCAGGGCTCTGTAAAAATTATAAATAATCGAGATAAAGTTTCGAAAGTCGAAACTTTTTTTACGCAAATTCATTGATCTTTTCAAATTTCCAAAATTTTGAAAATTTTCCGTGATATTAAGAAAAAACTAAAGCCCCATTTTTTTTCACTTAATTGTTTATAACTTTCGTAATTTTTATCGGCGCGTTTTCGGACCTATCCTTAAACTTTCTAGGCAAAAATACGAATCGAATGACACCTTGGTCGTAATTTTTGGACAGGACTGAAAAATGTTACAAAAAAAAGTACATGTGAACTAGACTATAATTGTTATGTTAATGAATACTTATTGTGATACTCAATATTTTCCTGATTACCACTCGCAATTATTACGCGAGAGTAAAGAATAGGTCCTTTGTCGCTGTTCGTAGATCTCATTCCACATTTTTGGATTTTTAGATTTTCAATGGCATATAAATCTAAAAAAATCTGTTTTAAAATCTGTTTTTCCGTTAATCAGCTGCCGCCCCCATACGAACGACAACTCTCAGAGAGGCCTGTTGTCATCTAACGGAATCAACAATTTCAAGCATCTCTCATTTATTCCGTGGCCGTTTCTAAGGCATGTTGACTCGACTTCTTTGGTCTACGAAATCGAATCGACCAACACTAGTTGAAGTGAACGAATATGTATTTTGGTTTATTTGGAAAGACTATGAATTTCTTTCTTTATTTCTCAAAAGAATTCACGAAGACATCATGTAATATTTTCATTTTTCATTATTATTATTACTTAAAACGAATATGCAACAATTTTTAGAAAATTTTACGAAAAGGATATTTTGAAAGCAGATTGGAGGAAAAATCACTTTTGAACACAGAAAAAAAAGTATTTCAAACGAGGTTAACTGATGAAGAAAGAAAAGGAAGAATATCGCAAATTTAGTAGCATGATATGAAGACGTATTTAATGTAGAGGAAGGAAACTGGCCGATTATTCCAATGCATATCTGTTCATGACATTCTTTATTCTAAAACATAAAATCACCAAATGAGAAAAACTCTTCTCAGTTTGTTAAAGTAATGTTCACAGCAAGGAACCCGTGGTTTTGTATTTGAATTGTCCTTTTTATAAAAAAAATGAAAATGTACGAAACAACCACCTCCCAGTTAGACGGTGAAATAGGAGAAGCGAACTGATTATATAACACAGAATTTTTTAATTTAATTTTAAAGAAATATTTGCCATTTCATCCATTAAGGTTAGGAGTAATCTATGAAAGTAATAATTTCGGCAGCAATGCAAATGTTGAAAATTGGTTTTCACAAGTTTTCAAAGGGGAATGCTACAATCAAAAGTGCAGTAGGGTCATTAGAATTTTACGAAAAAACCAATTTCTCTTCACAAAAAGATAATGTTAAATATTCCAAGAAATGCATGCACATCGAAAATTATAATAAAGAAGTCAACTAATACACAGATTCCTGAACGTTCAAATATGGAATCTTCCCAGAGAGAAACTTGGCAAGAGAAACGAATTAAAAAGGAACACATTTGAAAAATACGAAATGAAACAAAAAATTCTGGAATAAATTCAAAGATATCTTTGCAGTTGACAGGAACCGATAATGGGTTAACAGATGATGGGAACTTTTTGTCATCCCTTTCAAAAAGTCCAAAGGTAACGAATATTTCAGGAAAGTGTGAGGAGTTCTTGAAAGTACTTAGTAAACAAGATACTTTTGAACTAGAAAAATCACAAAAAAATCTGAATTATGGCTTTACCAAAAAAAAATTGAATCACTTCATCCAATTTTCGAAAAATAATAGTCTACTTCGGACAATTTCAATCCAAAGAGAATATCTCTAAGTGGGACATTGTATATTCGGGGTGGGGGTTGATTTTCTGCCATTCGCGAAATATTTGAGTGAGTTATGGATTTTTCTTAAAAAAATAGAATTAACGAGGTGCCTGTATGATGAAATGAATACATTTCAGGAAAAAAAAAATTCATGGCTGATTCGCATCCAAATCCATAGAAGCTAATTTAAACCTTCTCTTGCTTCCTTTCGAATCTGCTCATGAACATTTTGGCCTTGAAGGCCATGCCCCCTCCCGGGTTGAGTGCTCTGAGATATAATCTTCCCCACACTGTTACTGTGTGCGGAAGCTAGAATCTCATTTTATCCTACATCACTTATTTCTGAGTGGACCTAATCTTACTGCTAGTCACTTCAGCAAGATAGGCATCTGAATTCGAATGTGTTCGAATTCGTTCTAAAACGTTTTCGGTGTTGTTTCTCATTAATGCGTTTACANTATTATTATTATTATTATTATTATGATAGGAAATAGCACGGTCTTGTTTAAAAGCTGTTTCACATGGAGACCCATGTTACTCCTGCGTCCAGTGATGGGATTGAGGTTTTGTCGAGTGGCTCTCACCAGCCCTATCCTCCGCCGGATATAGGACCTGAACGTTAGTTTCCTGTCAAAGGTGACTCCCAAGTATCTTGCTTCGGTGGTCCACAAAATCTCTTGTCCGTTAAAGATGGCGTTTCCTTCCGGTTGTACTAGCATCCGGATGAACAGTATCTATTGCCTGACTCTTGTCAGGGTTTATGCTGTTCCAGAGATTGGCCCATTTCTACAATCTGTCCGCTTGCTAGTGGCTAGTGGATCTCGCCAGTAGAGCTGTGTCGTCCGCCTAGAGTGCTAACTTGTAGAAGTTATTCTCTGGCTTGGGCACGTCTGCTGTGTATACCAAGAAGAGGTGTACGGAAAGAACTGCACCTTGTGGAACTCCTGCTTCCAGAAGTCGGCTGGTGGTCTGTTCGTGTCCTACTATGCAACGGCATCGTCGGTCTGCTAGAAAAAAATCGATCAGTCTTACCATTGGTGTTGGGTAGCAAAAATTGGTCATTTTGGCTAGTCCGTGGTGTCAAACTCTGTCGAACGTCTTGGAGACGTCTATACATTGATTTGAAGCAAAGTGGAATATGTAATCCTTACTTGGAAACCACTTTACCAAGTAAGCAATGAAAAGGTTTGGAGTATTCTTTAAATATGGGTATTGTTCCGAAATAAGTTATGAATACATGCTTCTTTTGAACTCCTTCCACTTTCAACGGATCTAACTACTCTTTATATAATGTTGAATGGGCAGATCGACTGTCCCCGTTTACTGGAAAAGATTGATCTCCCAATACCTAGGTTAGTCTCACGTCAAACAATACTACGAACGATATTTATTTTAATAACTTGAACTCTAACAAAACCGAAACTAACCTATTGTATATGTTCTCTATCCTTTTTTCTTTATATAAGGTCTTAAACCATTATATTATATATTCTTTTTATTTTATTTTCCTATTAATTGGTGTATACCTGTTGAAAATAAATGTATCACTACTATTCTGGTGAGAGGAAAAAGTATTTTTATTAGTTTTATTGTACGCCAATTCTACATTTCAAAAAAGTTACAATTATCTTCCTTTAGAACTGGTTAGGCCAAGTGGACTCAAATTCGGACAACACCGAGTTTACAATTCGTAATAACCAAAGGCAAATAAAGGCTAACAAACCAACGAAGGAAGAAATTTTTGTGGTTTTTGATCCATATTATGATTTAATACCACCAAAGCTGACAGAAATTTCATTAAACGGTAGGGAATTATGTCCGAATTATGAAGAAGAGGAACAAACTATTCCAATGGGAAACCAAGAATCCAGTCGGTGAGTAGAATGTAAATATTCAGTCAAATATACATGTGTCAAGTTAAAAATCACCAAATATTGTGTGAAATAATATAAATGAAAAATATAGATCAAAAATGTTTCAAAACACTCCCCCCCGTTAACTAGATGTTACCCTTTAATGTGCGATTTTTAGCACGTTTTGGACGATGTGCAAAACGTGCTATGTCCCTCCGAAATGAATAAATTTCACAATAAATGTCTTAGGTTTCAAATTTTTTTGAGCTCTTTAACAACCGTTTAATGATATTTGTCAAGTACTTGAGATTTTCCGTCAATAATAAATTTTGCCCAACTACATTTTTCCTTCACAAATTTCTGTTTTGAATTATCTATGAAGATTTTCTAAAAGGAATTTCATCTGATATCAATTTACCAGCTTGTTTTTATTTTACAGGCCTACTATAGTACTGAACATAAATATTCCACAATGTGGCACGACGATTATAACCACGACTCCTTTGATTACCGAAGGAGACTACTCAAGGCCCGGTAAGAGACCTCAAAGAAACTCATATACATTTGGGACGACCAAAGAATACACATTGCGTTTAATCAGAGGCACCTCTAGTTTGGGTGATGGTTTGCACTGAATACTTCGAAGATTGCACAAACTTGAATCGTCGGCGATTTCTTAGATTCTAAAAGCAGTTGATGATGTATTACTGACGTTTGACAGTTTAAATATTACACATTACTATTAATGAATTTCAAAATAAAAGCAATATTTATTAAAAGGTTGCCTTTTTGTAACAGTAGCCACATCTTTTCGCTTCATTAGTTTGTCAAATCGAATCGGATGCACGCATGTGTATTCTTTCATTGTCTCAACTATATACAACAAATATTTATTTGATACCGTTCAAGGTCAATGGCCATGGCATGCAGCACTTTACAATAAGGAAGAGGGAAAAAAGAAGTATATTTGCGGAGGAACTCTTATATCACAGCGACATATACTAACTGCAGCTCATTGTGCCGTCAAAAAAAGCGATTGTACCATCAATTGTTCTCCCACTCCAAAGGATCCGGAAGACATTCTCATAACTTTAGGTGAAAAATTTGGACAAACTCATTGTATTAACCTAAGTAGAAAGTTGAAATGGCATTGTAAGGGAGAAGTAAGCTGTAACAAAATCCCTGTTCATTTAAAAAATGACGAAAAATAAATATATAACAAAAGGTTACCGATTTGGGTCTCTTCCAAATGATGGAAAACATTAAAGGACATCTCTCAGTCAAGATAATTCTCAGTATGTGGGTTCCATAATATGAATCAGAAAAGATGTTTTTATATTGTACATGATAATAAGAGAATATAGTGTTTGTCGTACAATGCGGAAGTTAACGAAACGAATGAAAATAATAATCAATAGTTGATCTATCAGTTTGTGTATAGTTCCCATCTTGGGATACTGCGTATCCACTTTTAAATACATTCAATACATTAGTTTTAAATGTTTTTTTGCTTGTTTCAAATTAAGGAATATTGTTTTACAAATCAACCATCACAAAAGCATCATCCCCAAGCTTCAGTTTCCGAAGAGCAAATTGCAAAGAACAAATTACAATCAAATTTCACATGAGCGGATCTTTATAAAAACGTGTTCGAAAAGATGATTAGAAACGGAAATTTTCAAAACATTCCTTAATGTATTAATCGGTCGAAATTCATTTGATTCATCAGTACCTACTACTTTTTGAATTGGGATAATTGTAGTTACTTTCAATAAATCAGAAACCCAACCAGTATCCAATGATGTATAAAATTGATAAAAACATGAGCAGTGATTTGAATTATATTATCAAGTATTTTGACATTTGAAGTTGTTGAAGTTTTTGTTGCAATGGTTCAACTATTTTATATAGTTGAATACGTTCGTAATCGAAAGAGAAAAATGAACTTGCGTAATGACTTTTTATTTATCAAAATTGACAACTACCTACTTCATCAAATCAAATATCAATATCTAAACATGTCTACAGGGCACCTTCAAAATTAAATTGATACAGTTCAATACAGAGCTGACTAAAAATCAACCGTTTCTAACAGAAGTTTCATGTGCGCACTACATTAACAATTTCAAACACTTTTCTATAGTTGATAATTTTAAATTAGCAAAGTAAACATATACTTGTACTTAGAAATACTTCAACTTGAACTGACAAAGTTATACTTCAACTTGAACTGGCAAAGTTATTATTTATTGATTCTATGCTAGAATAAAATAATAAACATTACAATTTATAGAATAGATCAGCACATGAGTGTTCGTCCAACTATGTTGGACTTTTTCTGTAAAGTGCAAAGTATATTTCAAAATTCAGGTGAGTTATTGACGAAGGTATGACGATATATTTGAATTCATGGAAAATATCTAACTAAGCAGTTGCAACTTACCATCTTTTTTAATAAGCACATTATATCAGCTTTTTTCATTAACTGGCCACTAGAGAAAACTATTTTAACTAGTATGACATTTTCATTTCCAAAGTAATCAGAAGTTTGTTATCAGAAAAACTCAATTATGGTTCCACATTCACGAAGGAATCGTTTGTGGAATATTTTCAGATGAAAGTTGTATTTCATTACCTTACTCAACCAGTTAAAACACTAAAAACTCCTAAAAGTGATCATTTCTGTTTTTTGTTACAGGAAAATATGGTTTCTTCGTGCAAGGCCGAAATGAACAGATTTTGGAGGTATCGACAGTAACGATTCACCCTCAGTATAATACAACAAACTTTTTCAACGATATTGCAATATTACATCTGAAAACTCCGGCTCAGTTCACGAATTTTGTCAGGCCTTGCTGCATCTGGGAAGAAGATCCAACCCTAGATTCAGTTGTTGGTAGAATAGGTAATAAATTTCAGACAGTTCTGAGTAGTTTCTAAAAATATTTTTGATTTCTATAGTTCATTAAACACTTTCTATCTTTAAATTTGAATAAAACAAAGTGTGTGTGAGATATCATCGACATTTTTGATTCGTTTAAGAAAAATCTGTTTAAAATATGTTTGTCCGTTAACTAGTTGTTGCACTCCTACGAACGACAACCCTCAGAAATCGAAACTTGTGCCTGGGGCTTGAACCACCGACCAACACGGCTGTCGATTTGAGTGAGTGAACACCCACGTCGAACCGATCGGCTACCGACAGACCGACCACAAAAGACCTATTAATGCCATTATGTGTGGAGTATAACATCGTTCAAATTTCCGCCACGGGTTCTATGAATCTGGCGCATAAATCAAGCTGAATGTGACCAATGGCTTGGGTTATGTTGGCTTTGAGGACCGCTGTGGTTTATGATTTATTCGCATATACCCGAGACTTAAGAAAACACCATAAGAAAAGTCTAACCAGGTCCAATAAGACGATCTTGGTGGCCAGCCCAAAATCCACACCAAACAGTGACTTTTTCGTGATGCAATGGACGCTCTTATATCTCATGTGGATTAGTATCGTCTCAAATTCGACAATTTTTTTATTCACGTACCCATTCATCCAGAAATGTGTCTCATTGCTGAAGATGATTTTTCGGTCAAATTGTACCTACTTTACTATGTACTACTATGACAGTTTACAACTTTACGCAAAATGACTAGGAAAACGCTTTTGTCAACTTCGTTGATACTAGAGGTCAATAATGAAGCATTTGTGATCCAACACCAGGCAGTGCTGTTTCAACCCGCCTAGGTCTCATCCTTGGCGCTAGTTCAAACCACAAATTCATTGGGGATCCTTATTCATCTTTGAAATTTGTGGATTGATTTTTATGTCGATTTCATAAATAGCGTCTTCGAAAGGTGAGTTTAGCAATGAATTGATGGTTCAGCCACCACAAGCACCAGCGGTCTGGTGTTGTATCTCACAAATGATTTGCTTTTGGGATCTGGTTTCAACTGAGTCCCCTGCAGTGAAAGACAGATGATGAATTTCGTTCGGCGGTCGATGTTGAAGCTTGGCTTTGCTACTGACCGCCGGCGACGTGGGGAGTCTCGTTTATCTTTGATATTCTTGGTTGACTCCTTTTTCGATCCTTCAGATTACGTTTTTATAGGAGATGTCATCCCCTGTACTAACTCAGACTTGTCCTTTAGTGACAGTTGAGTCCATCAATGCATTCATAGTTCAGCCTGGCGGTTAAAACACCGATGTTTGGTGTTAGATCACGAATGCTTCACTTTCGAGCCTTGTTTCAGTTGCCTTGTAGTGAAAGATAACGAATCTCATTCGGCGGTCGACGTTGAAGCTTAATTTTACAACAATCCGCCTTTGGGTGCCTTGTTATTTTAGATATTCTTGAATTGAGTCCTCTGCCGATGCCATCTTCGTAAGGGGAGATGTTACGCCTCTACACTGTCAAATTAGTTTGCAAAATGTGCGTCGAGAAAAGTGTTTTCAAAGTTCTGATATGTGATAAAAGTGATGTTGCTTCAAAATGCAGGAACTATCATTTCTTCATCCTGTAGGTACTGCTGTAGGCTGGGGGAGAGACCATAAAAACAATGAACAAACGGATCTTCTGATGCAAGCTGAAATGCCTGTTGTGGACACACTGACATGCATATATGCCCACAGAGATGTCTTCGCACATTACACAAATTCTAATAACTTTTGTGCTGGCTTTAGAAATGGTAAGTACCTAATTGAAATCGATAATTTTCCTTCTCATTTTATGCGTTTTTCATATGTGATACAGATTGAACAAAGCTTGTCCACTAAAAGATAAATTATTTTCTTAAAGAATTATTCAAAAATCAAGTCAAATTGATCGTGAATGTTGTTGTCGTTATATACAGTGCGGCCATGAACAATCTCCCCCTCCTAACTTTCGAACGGGGCAAGATATTAAAGTGAGACAAAATATTTAAAAACCAGATATTTTCGGTAATTTTTGACAAAAAAGCCATAACTCGCCGCCGAAAGGGCGTTATCAACTTTTTTAATGGAAAGGAGGGTGATATTGCATATGAAAAGTATTTCAATTCTCTTCACAATGAGCTCCAATTTTTTGAATACCGATAACCTATTGTGTTTGCATATGTACATCCCATCGCAAGTGATGGTCCAGTGTTATGCCAAGATATTTGAAATGTTTTGTAGTACCTACCTACCTATTGTATCAATTCCGTTTTCATCGACTTTTATATTGAGTGAATCATAACCTGAAAGATTATATTTGTATGGTGCAAAGGGCATATATTTTGTGTTTTCTACATTGACAGTGAGAAATTTATTATCAAACCATATCAGGATGTTTCCCAAATCGATCGAGTTCTATCCAGCTATTTCCTTCATAAAACCCAACTGTTAACATCTGCGAAACTGCTGATTGCACCCTGGTGAAATCCATATTACCTATTTTGTGTTTATTCAAGTAATCGATTATTCTGACTTTCACTACTTTTTCGTCCATAGTTCTCTTTTTCAGATTTATCTCAATTTTTGTGAATTGGAATAACAATCGTTACTTTGAATTCTGAACAACAAATACCCATCTGAAATATTAGGGTATGTATGATGTTCAATATTTAATTTCGTTCCGATGGCCTCAAGGAGAAAGAATGTACAGCACGCTGCTTTTTAATGGGGGATCATTATTTTTCTCGCTAGTTTCTTGCCTATATTTATGAAATAACTATTGAGAACTTCTAAGACTGCCTTTTCGTTCCTTTTCCCCTTTTCTTTTTTATTTTATTGATTTAATGTTCTCCCTTGTCTATACTGGTTATAGTTAATCCTTACAGTATCTCATAAAGCTTTTGAACTATTTTGCTCTTCTTCCATTTTTTTATTGTAATAACTTTTTGGCTTGCTGTATTAAGACGTTGACATTATTTCTATACCTTCTGTATTCTTCGCCATATTGATTGGGGTTTTTGAGAAAGTTCTTGAAGAGTTCGTTTTTGGTGTTAATTGATTTGATCAAACCATTAGTAATCAACATTTCCGTTTAGTGAAAATTTTTTTTGTTTAATTGTGTTTTTCGATATTGCATTTGTAATTGTTGCTAGAAATAATTTTGTGGCTTTCTGTATATTTGTTTCTTCCATCCAATCTAAACTTTTTAACTCTATTTTTAATTTTTTATAATCTATGAACTTTTTGCAAATATCATTTTGATATTGTTTCTCTACGTTGAGGGGTATTTAAAAAATGGTTGTGAAATGATCGGTAATATTTGTTTTGATTATTACTGGGTACAGTTTTCATTCTGAATTGGAGCTGAAGATAATGTGATCAAGAGCCTATTTCCCTTGAACGCGAGTGTTTTTGTTGATCATCGATTATATTTACTGAATAAGGTCAAATAAATCATCAGTTTTCAATAGATTTATATTCATATCACTGGCTACTATACGACAGTCTGCTTTACAAGATTTTGTTTCCTTGGAATATACATTCTCAGGCAATCCAAATATGGCGGCCTATATCCTGCTGTAAGAAGTATTTTCTATTAAACTTTTGTTTATTTCCAATTCAATTAGATTATAAATGCCCACTTTGACTACTCGCGATTTAAAATACAAATATGTTCTTGAAATATATCACGCAAAGTCACAAAGTCTGCGATACTGGATATCTTCACTCTTATACTATGTGATTCCTGATATCAGCACCATCATTTTTATTGATATCACCATGATTATAGATAACATAAAACTAAAGGATTACGCTTTAGTTTTATTGAACTCAAATCTTGCAATTTAAATATTTCTTTAAAAATCAAGGAAACTATGGCTGAACATGTGGCTTTCAAAATAATTGTCATTTCATCGATATATTTTCTTATAGTACTAATATTTTGCTGAAGAATTCTAAAAACGATAGTTTCTTCCCTCTGTTTGAGTAGTTTATTATAACCGTGTTAGGAATCACACGTTAAAAGGTAAGACCTCGTTAATCCTTAGCTCGCACAAGTTTCTACTTCTGAGGGTTGTCGTTCCTAGGGGTGCGACAGCTGGTTAACGGAAAAACAGATTTTAAACAGATATCATTGCACTCTATTGTTTCTATGGAATGAAAATTTACATGTCTTATGTACGAGTCCATATTCAATATGATTATGTGATGATATCATTATCATCACTACTTGAAGAAAAAAAATTGAAATTTTTATGGCGAAAACGATAAAAGAAATCCCTATTATTTTTGTGAATTTGCATGCGATCTGGTTATTTTTTCGGCAGCGGATTCGACAATTTTTTTGATTACTCCACTAGATTTTGGTGTATTTTGTGATAGGTTATTTGGTTGTTGTTGTCCACTTCTCATAAAGGATAATGGGTTATTTGGTTTGCTGTTAACAATTGAATACGTATTGTCCTTTCTTACACGAAGGACCAATTTTTGTACTGTCAATTCCTTCGATTTCAAATCGAAATGAACCAGAAATAAAAAAATTCAAAAGTATTTTTATATGTTGTCAATGACCAGTATCACAGTAAATGTTCTTTTCGCCATTTTCTTCAAAATGTATTCGCTAAAGCTTGAGATACTCTCCTCCGTGCCGAATGTATAAATCTAAGCCCACTCAGTATCACTAACGAAGCCTTCGAGATACCGGGCTCCCTCACATCGTACAAAGCCTTGTCACAGTAATACGTGGCTCTGTCATAATGACTCTCCTTTGCCCAGCTAATCATGGATTCCCTTATGGACAATTAAGTTACCAACGAATCTACAGAGGAAATGGATATCAATTAAACGACTTCAACTGTCCTTTATTTAATATCGGATTAAGAGCAAGAGTTTTTCAGTTCAAATCTTGATTCCTTTAACAAGAATGAGAGGCTAGCTGATGCAACCAGGATGCGATATATCAGCTCCGTAAGAGCAAGATGTCTTATGTATCTGCCTTGCGGCAAATTCTTGAGGAGAAAATCCTCCAAAGCAAGTCAGCAGACGCTTATGCTCAAACGATGATTCGCCCAAACCAGACACCAAAAAACCCTACATGGCTAAATCGAATCCGACAACCTCAATGCGTCGATACAGACAGAACGGGCATCGTTCTATAGTTTGAATAAGTAAGGGCCACAATAAAACCACGCGAGTTGCAATGGAAGGCCACTTTTGCTAGCACAATTTGGACTTACCTATCTGGTTCAATATAAATACACACATTTGCTGATTGATTTACCGATTTTGAGTATAATTTTTCATTTCTTCGCTAGTTTTCGGTCCTTAGGGAAAGATTTGCATCGAACAACACCTTTTGGATCACTAGTCATTATGAAGAGCTGACTTTTAACATTTCTCTAAAAAAAATTCAATGGATACGTGTATCAAAAAATAATTGTTTCTACGGTTCCTTAATGCAATACCTATATTTGTCTAGAGTTCAACCCTTGAATTATTAAACCTAGATGTCTTCCACTTCGTGATTCTCCTGAGTTAAGAAACATGAACTAAATTCGTTAGAAGGTACCTAGCATTCATTACTTGGTTTTTCTCATTTGCGAAATTATTTGACATTATTCATTATTTTCAGGTACTTCCGTTTGCAATGGGGATTCTGGTGGAGGACTAGTGTTTCGCAAAAGAAGTACAAGCGGTGGCAGTACCGTTTGGCAAATACGGGGCATTGTTTCCAATACCATCGCCAAGGAGGGGCGTGTATGTGATCCTAATTACTATGTAATATTTACAGATGTTGCAAAATATGTAGAATGGATTAAGAGCGTCACCAGTTCTTGAACTGTCACATCAACAAAAGTTTTTTCCAACTTGATATGAACTGTGAAGTTGTTACTAGTTTTATGATTCAATTAATACATAATTCAACCTATTCTTTGAAAGACATTTTTTGTGGAGGAATCAATGTTTTTTACCGTTTTCTGGGTGTATAACTTTTCAGTTTACAAAATAAATGAAGCTGAAACAATAGAAAATTTGCTAAAGTGTAATAAAACGCACACTGAAAAGTTCAGCCTGAAAAGTTACCTTTCGACCTATAACGTGCCACTACCGCGAGGCTATATTGATCAACGGAGCCTATGGATCATAGATGAAATGAGAAGTCAGAAGAAAGATTATGAAGTTGATTCAAAGCTGACTCTGAAATGAAGTTCGATCTGAGTGACAAGTCTCCAAGTGTGGACAAGAGTTACTTAGTTGAATTCGATAGTGCCCCAATCGGTCTACAAAGAGCATAAAAGAAAGATGTGCCGGAACAACTCCATAGTGAGTAGAGTAAGTAGGTCCAAAGTGAGTGGTCTTTTTGACCCTACACTGCAACCTGCGATGATTTATTGTGTACCCCACATATTCAAACTCGACCTAGTATGTCCCGCTTCTTAACGATTCCGATTAGCATATTTGGTGAGCAAGTTTTCGGTTTCATGATTAAAAGTGAAACTTTCGATAGCCCAAGTCTCGTATTTAAGTATCACTTTGTTAGATTTATACTACATTTTTAAAGACGCAACACGAGTTTCACTATATAATAGCTTCTTCAGGCGTGTTCATACTAACTGAAGTACTTATATGACCTTTTGTACCAACCTAATGAGTCATACATTTACCTAATTACCAATTTGAATTCAGTAAAAAGTATTCGTCATTGACAAGGTATAGGTCACATAGGTAATTCCTATAAAGCAAGCACTAATTTAGTAGAATTCAGTATGAACACTCTTGAAGAAGATATTGTTTAAGTGAAACACGTAATGCCGGTTTATAAACTGTCTAGTAAAAATCTCACAATGAAGTGTTGGGTTATCATGAATTTTCATAACAAATCGGCCAATCGGTTATTCGGATGACAGTGACATACAAGTAGGCATATTTGACAACGTAGGTCATCCCTGCTGCAATCTATCAATTGTTTGGTGTCATATTTCGATGGATGTAACCATTCAATGATTTGCTGTCTTAAATAAAACAGTTTCTGTTGAATTTAAGAAGAGTGGTTAATACATATTCAAAACTCTCAAATTTTTTTGGTATTGAACAAATTGTGCATATTAGATATATATCATAGACACGCACCTATCTATTCATCAACTAAACCATTCTAGATATGCACCTATCTATTCATCAACTAAACCATCCATCTGTTTAGTGGATGGCCTGAAAATATAATATAGAGGTAGTTGATTGAAAGTTGTTTGAAGTTGATGAATTTCTTTGACATTTCCAAAGAATTGGTTAGTTTCAATTCTGAAGTTCAGTATAATATGTAATATACAATCTCAACCTCAGATAGGCCCTGAAGAAAACAGTAAATATAAAAACATTAACTTTTCTTTATAGATTATCAGACGAATGAAATGATAAAAATTCAATAATGTTACCCTTAGTTCTCATAAAACTTCAGATTTAATAATTTTACTAAATTTCAATTTTCATAAGAAATGTGATTGGTTTTTTGAGAGTACCTATTTTTTATATTTATATTTACTACAAGATTAAAATATTTTCGTCTAAGACAAAACATTTTTAAAATCATAAATATTCAGATCATTCAACAAACTCTCACTGGTTCATTTGTTTTTCACATGACTGAGAATGACTTTTTTCTAAATTATCCAAGTAACACTTTATTGTGAAATTTTCACTGGACAGTTTACAAAATCGAAACACTATACAATAGCTTATGCAGAAGTGTTTATACCTCACACCTGAGGAAGCTATTCTATAGTGAAACATGTGCTGTTGGTTTGTAAACTTCAAAGTTAAAGTCTCACAATAAAATATTACTTAAATACATTATGAATTTTCATCAAGTATCAGCCAATTCCATCATATTTTTTTTAATGTATGACAATACAATAATTACAGACCAATTATGCTTCCAATGAAATTTACTACTTAATGAAATTTTGCATGATACTTACAAGAGCTGATGAAATAAGAGACAAATGAGGTCATTATTCATAACCATCTGAACAAAAAAAAGGTGAAGTAGGCATATTTACAACTAAATTTTATTTTCTGCTTATATAGGCTCATACAGACAAATATATTTCAATGAGAATATACATGTCTACCTTTAAGAATTCTATTCATTAATACTCTTCGCCCTGAAGCTGTCTTCATCCTAGTTTCCCAACCATGCCTTTTGATCCTTTTTCTTTCCGATGGTCGAGGAAAGTGGTTGCGTATAATTGTGCGAACTGAAAGATTGAACAGACCTCCAGGAGCATATGGTGAAATTCTCTCACTAGTTATCGAATGAAATTGGGAAAATGGTTGCAGGAATTCACTCGTGAAGCTTGTTGAACGCCTGGAACATGTGTATAATGAATATGATAAATATTTTCTCAAAACTCTCATTTACCATATAGATTTTTGAATTACTGGCAAGAATCTTGACAACAGAGACATTTCAGATTCACTATTAATTTAACTTTTCCTAATTTCTATTCTTATCTCAATTTCTAATTTTTAAGGTATCACCGATTTCTCATATTCCACCATAACCACAAACCACGAGAGTAAGTAGTTTGTGACCATAACTATAAACATGACATATATTACGTCACTATATTTCACCATTCAAAACATTGGTAGCTTACCAACGTTGCCATTCAAAAATTATCAGTTTTTTCAATATTACTATTAAATTCAAAACAATTTGAACTCTTGACCATTGATTCGGAAGAAATAGTAACATTGGATATAAACGCCATAGCATTGTCTAAATTTAATATTTTGACAGTGGCCACGACACATGAATAATACCTGAAAAAAAATGTTTTTTCTAGTTTTCAGTCTGTGCTTCAATAAATAGGAAATGAGACAATAGAAGGAATTTCATGAGTTTTGAAGGAAATCAAATCTACCACAGAGTTTATGACCATTTGATGGTAAAAACCAAAAAATGTTTAAATATGCTTTTAATTCAAAATCAAACCATTTCTCATGCATTGAGGTTGAAGCATTTCATTTTAATTTCATGTATTTCCTGTTCCCTGTTCCCCTTCTGCATTCTTACGTGATACATACTTAGTTCAACAATTTTTTTCAACACTCTCTTAGCATCCACTTTTCCATAAAAAAAAGTATGTGATAAAGAAAGAATATTCTGAATGGTCTAAATTACGATAAAACGACAGTTACTGCCAGAACAGAATAGAGAACAGTAAGTATTCCGAGCAACCACAAACAAGAATAATCGGGCGGCGACATACAAAGACATGGACAATTGAATCTATGGATACAGATGAGTAAAAATGTCTGTCCCTTTGTGTTGAATGGAGTATCGTGATTATTATTTAATAATACATATATCTACGTCATAACGCTACGTCATCATTTCAACTACATGGAACCTAAGATGGATTTTAAAAGTTAACAGGTGACAGTGTTGCCAAAATGCTATACTACACTCTGTGCTATAGATCTCTGAGATAAAGTGACGTTGACAAATGGCAATAATCGCTGAATTCGTAATATCCTCATTTCTTTGATTCCCCAACCAGTGTCCGATTTCGCAAAAAGTGAGGAGTTTTTCAACGATTGGCATCGTTCATAGAATTATAATTATTTATTACCACTAGAACGCTTTTCAAATAAGGCTGATAGATTAATCGTGGTTCGTATAATGTGCGTAGCATAAGAAGGGAAAATGGGTAATTCTATTTCTTTCCTCTTCTCAAATTAGCACATTTATCAATTAAATAATTTATCGTTATATAGGGCTGATGAAAATGATTTTCCTCTGTGGTATAACGGTACCGGTTACTGCGTTTTTTTGGACTTCGTCCTTGGACATATATCCAGCTCGAAGAATAATGATAGTATTTCATAATTGTACAAAAATAATATATACCGTGTTAGGAATCACACGTTGAAAGGTAAGAACTCGTTAGTCCTTATCTCGCACAAGTTTCTCAACTTCTGAGAGTTGTCGTTCGAATGGGGGCGACAGCTGATTAACGGAAAAACAGATTTTAAACAATTGGAAATATAGCATCATAGCATTGTTTACAACTGAAGAGGTGTTTTCTAACGAAATACGACCCTACTACTTGTCACTTTCTCTCAGACAGCTGAATATTCAAGTTTAAGTTAGATTAACTCTTATTGCTCAAATATGGATCAGATTTTTATGCCCATTGTTTGTTAAAAAAATGTTGTGTTCCTTCAATATATCTGAGCGCTAGATAATTATGAATTATCTCGCTTTGCTTGCCAAGCGTTCGATAATTCAGATATGTTGAAACATCTGCTCTGTGCTCGGTATTTACGAGAGCGAGAAAAAAGTGATCTGCTGACTCAAGAGATAAACGTTAGGATCATTTGTTGAATTTAAAGACATTAATTACATTTTAGGTATTTTTTATAAATTTATTTATAACTTTTCGTGAAATTTTTGGATCTTGTTTCGTCATTTTACCTTCAAAGAAAAGTTTACAACACATTCTCGTTGAAATAATAATGCCTCCTTTAACGCTAGTCGTTCTTAAAAAGTTGTAACAAAAATGTTCACATTCTTGGGGTGAAATTATTAATTACAGTTCTGTTGAATAAAAAAACTTCACCGATTATATGTAAAACTCAAAGTTACATAATATCAACTCCATATAAAAATGGATAGAAATATCATGAGCCCTCCCTATGTAAAATATTTTGATGGAAACACTCGCTCTACTGCACTCTTGATTGTATTATATAATATGGAATCTAATATTGAGAATCTCAGTAACATATACTTACTTACTGGAACTACACCAAAAACCAAATAATCATGAAAATTGTAGAATCGCCTAATGATCATCCTATCAAATCATCATCCTTCATTGAAAAATGACAGTTATGTGAAAGTAAGACTTTTGTTAAACAAAAAAAATTTTAACCATGTTTTACTTCACTGATTTATATTTATATGATTTATATTTTAACTCAACAGATTATAGGACCTGAGGAAGCCTCGGCTACCATAGATAATGAATTCAGGTAGCTTGTCAGTGGGTGCATTTTGAATTTTCTGCAATTATGAACCCACCCTATACCTAACTCTGTATTGAGGGCCAATTTATTCACATAAAAAAATCGGTTTCCTCTGGACTATGGTTTATCAATCCAACTAATATTATGAACTGTTACGATAGTTGGGCGAAAAATCAATAAAATCACGAAAAAAATTATTAGCAGTACCTTTCCCGCATAAGCCCTGTTTTTAGACAATATATAGGTAGGGTAGTTAAGTTACCTTCATCAAAAACCGAAAGTTTTTAAATTTGTTTTTTGAGTTATTTTTTATTTTTAACCCATATTCCTCATATCTAAACTCAATAATTAATATCTTCACTTACAATACTCTCTCTCTTTCTCTCGCAAGCCGTCTCGAATAAATACCTCATGCAAGAGTAGGCACCAGAATTCCAAAAATTGATGACTTTTTGGTTCATCTCCAAATGTTCTTCTATTTGAGTGTTATATATCGATCGAATTATTAACATAAATTGTAAATTGCTTATTGTCTGGGTTTCAAGTGGATATGAGACTCAGGTGAAAATATTATTCTGAAATAACAACCAGTCAGGTATAGTTTGTATATTTCAGCGTCTGGTGTGTTCCATTAAAGGAAAAACCGAAACCTCTGGCGTAGAATAAATCCCAAACAAGCACTTTTCCCAAACACCAGAATTGCTATACTCTTCTCGACAAGAGAACTATGATTTTACTTGGTAATTTGTGATGGAATACATTTTTTTTACCACTTGTAGTAACAGTTGCATCAGAACTAAACATATGTAGATAAAGGTTTCAGGTGATTACAAAACAAAAAAATTGTGAGCAGTTACGGGACGCCTAGCAGATATGAAACATTTATGATGATACTGAAATATTTATAAAAAATATGTAGATAAAGGTTTCAGGTGATTACAAAACAAAAAAATTGTGAGCAGTTACGGGACGCCTAGCAGATATGAAACATTTATTATGATACTGAAATATTTATATGTATATGTTCGTTGTCTGGCTACATGCTAGTTTGAATCTCAAATTGTGTTAGTGTTATTGTTATACTCATAGATATGTATATTAGGTTTCCTATTTCAATGAAGATTATTATTATTATCATCCATACAAAATTAAAATGGTACACCAATTAACTGAAGATGACCCTGATCGAAGAACAAAATTCTGCAAAATCATGACGGAAACCACTGCAAGGCATCCTACTCATCTCCATAATATTTGTTTTAATGACGAATGTACATTTTTTTAAACGGCAATGTTCACAGACAAACAAACCATTTCGAGCTCATTACCAAGCTCATTACCTCATATTATGTAGTTGAATGTGTTCTGGCAAAGGTTCGCCATTTTGTAGTTGTTGAAGATATTGACATTATATTCTTGGGTTGTGAAGCATTTGTCAGGAGCTTCAAAAAGATGTGTCACAAGACCCCCCATTCTTTTTAATTTTTATTCACAGATGGTGGAGCCGCCTTCCGCTGACGTATGCGTGGGAGAAAGGTTGTATACTCTATAGGTATCCGAGGTCAGTATGGAGAGAGAGATAGCGTAACGCCGAACCAGTGGGAAGAGAATCGCACAGTCGCTTGCTCATGGCGACCCGTCGCTATGCCATCGATCTATTCCACATTGCATGTGTTATGTGTTGTTATATAACACATGTTATTTCTGCAGATAACTCGCTTTGAGATTATACTGATCATGTATGTTGTATCGTAGCTATATAACATGTATTATAGTAATTCTAATTCGTATTCAATTTTCGATATAAAAACAGAAAGAATGATTGAAGTCGATTCCAATTACACTCATAGACTTTTGAATTATTACTCTCATTTCAGTAGGCTTATTTGAAATCAACTTAAGAAGGGTTGAAAGAATTTATTAGCTATGAATAGCTATACCTGAATGAAGAATTAGAATATCACCATTCCTTGTTGAATGTTCAGCAACAAAAGCAAATATCTTGAGCTTCTATAGTAAATAAGTACCTAAATATTGCTCACTAAATAGATAATATTGATGAAAGCAAATATACCTATTAAAATTCCAATTTGAGCGGACCTCTTTCAACGAGACGCCTTTGTTTGTTAATGTGAAGATGATGGAAAACCCAAAGTATTGATAGTGACAAATTACCGTCATCCAAAACAACAAAGAGGACGATGTCCTCGTTGTGTGTAATACCTGAAAGTATAAACAGGAAATGCAAAAAGTCGAAGAAAGTAAAAGAGAAACAATAATTAATAGTGGGACAATACATTTTCCATCAAGTTAGGCTTTGTAGATTTCAGTTTTTTCTAAACAAAATGAGCCCATTTAATGCTGTAAATTTGAAAGTAGATTTCTGAGTCAGAATAATGACCTTATCTGACCTTTGGCAAAACGGGGATTTCTTCCGCAGTGGCCTTGATTCGTCTCTAGAAACAGTAATCGGCAAATTAATTGCAGATATTTCAATGAAAACTCGTTTTAGAATCTTCAAATCTATGTTGCCAATAAATTTTAAATTTTGTTTCAGCAGGCATTGTATTAAGAAATGCTCAACATTAAAAACTGAATTTTGGACTAATAATATGCATCAGTCATAGCTGATATTTGTTTAGAAAAGAAAGGTTTCACCTCCCTTTAGTGCCGGAGTTGTTTGTTTCGGTGGGTAGACGCAAGTTTGTTTATTTTTGTCTCTATTTCTTTCTAAGCTGATTTTTTGTCAATCTTGTTTTTATTGCTGATGAAATATTTTTCATAAATAACGAGATTTAAACATACCTGAAGGTCATCGTTAAATTATTTTTTAATTATGTGTCGTCTCAATAGGAATTCAACTCATTTTGAAATTATTTTCTCATTATAATAAGTGTATTACCTTTAACGATTGCGTTTCTAAAATTTAAAATTTTTGTAGGCTATGAGTGCCGTTTGTTATCGAAAATGGTGAAATATCTTATAATTTTCGTATTGTTCCTCAATACAGTATCTTGTCAAAGTTGGGTATCACCTTGCCCAAAATTTTTCACTTATGAACCCAGAAATCCGAACGAGCCTGACCGCTGGTATGGTCGAATTACTTTAATGTCTCCAGATAAATTGACGGGAGTTTGGCTGAGAGTTATTTTTGACAAACCTACCATTCAACTAGGGGTAAGTTATAAATATTATAATTGATTAGTTTAATATCCTTAATTTCAGAATTGGTTTGGTGAAGTGAAAACCGAGGACAATGTGGAGTATTTGATAAAAAACCCGAAGAAAAAATTAGAACCAAATGCAGTTGCAACTGTGAGATTTTATGTGAAACATAATGTAAATGAGATTCCTCCTCAAGTAGTATCTTTTCGACTGAATGCTAAAACAGTATGCCCAGAAGGCACAGTAACTACAGAGGCTACTACAAGTGGTGCGCAATTGTTCATTAGTGAGGAGCGATCTACAAAACCGACTTTAAGTAAACCAGAGTTACCTAACGTTATGCCTCCAAATACAGGAAATAATTTGTAAGTATACAAGTATATAAAGATTAGTTTGTTTAGTTTTTTCTTTCAGTATGTATCCAGGTCAGAGCCTATCTATGAATGGAAATTCAGACGACGATGATTTTTTTATGGGAGACTTTGCATTGTTTGGAAGACCACAGAAACCTCCTGTTCTTGATAATTCTGTTTGTGGAACTATTATTGTGAGTGTCATAAGACTTAAGTTGAGAAAAAACATTCCACCCTTTCCATTTCAAACATTGAAAAACATATACTGAACTTTGTAGAAACATCCTAGACCTCTAATAACTCATGGGCAAGAAACACATGAAGGAGAATTTCCATGGCATGCAGCTCTTTATCATGCACGAGGAATAGATTTGACATACATATGTGGTTCATCCCTAATCAGTGCTAATCATTTGATAACTGTTGCACATTGTGTTACAAGAAGGAAAACGCAGAGTACTCTTTCTACAAGTAGCCTTGTTGTTTATCTGGGTGAAGTACATCTGATTTTTTAAATAGGATTGTTATTTGACTTTGCAACTTGGTTTGGTTTTAGGAAAGTACTATTTAAAAATATGGTCAAATCCTGGAATTCAAGATAAGAATGTTGAGAAAATCATCGTTCATCCCAAGTATAACTCTCAGACATTCAGTTTTGATATTGCTATATTAAAATTGAGTAGCCCTGCTAAAATAACTGATTATGTGAGACCAATCTGTTTATGGAACGAACAAACGGACTTGGGAGTGGTGGTTGGTAAAGCAGGTAACTTCCATATTGGTGAATTCGATTCTCAATGTATAATATATTTTCTTCAGGAACAGTAGTTGGCTGGGGTTACGATGAGTCTGGCAAGGTAACAGAACAACTGACAAAGGCTCAGATGCCAATTGTGACACAGGAAACGTGCATATACTCATTCCCAGATTTTTACTCAAGATTCACTTCTGACCATACCTTCTGTGCTGGCTTCAACAATGGTAAGGACCGTGCATCTACTAGTTATGAAATAAAACCTACCGATTTTGAAAACTACATTAATTACTTGATCCAATTATTTCGTGTTCAAGGCGCTCCAGGAAACAGAGCGGATTCAGTAACAGGTACTTTCTTGAAATCCTTTTGGTACCTAATATAGCATGACCTATTTTTATCACTTTTCATTTAAAGAAAAACATTTGAAAGAAGGGACAACAGTGTAACATATCTGTGTGATGAAAATTTAATAAATATTGTGTGCGCTTATGTCAATTATCTATCAAGGTCCTGCGTTCAATTCTGTAAGTAAAGTAATAATACAAAATGATAGAAATTGAAAATCGTCTCATCTCTTACGTAATGATAATTCAAATGATATTATTGTAAGGGAAAAAATATTTGAAATGGAACATATAGTATCAGTATTTCCAATATGATGGGACAACTCAAGTAGATTTCAACCAAGAATTACTTTTTGAGCTTTTTCCATTTCCTCCAGTCCACATTAATAAAAAAAATCTCATAGGATGTGAGAATTCTAGTTCGTTCCGTGAAATTCTTTCCTACGATCGTTTTTGTGTCTAATCTTTCCCATATCAGAATGTTTGAATTGTCAGGTATTAGGATTGAATAAAGTGTTGATTAATTTTACGAAATTGATCATAACCTGAGATTTTCACTATTAGTGAATCTCAAAATTGAAAGCAATTCTTCATTAAATGCTCAGGTTGTTGGTAGAAGTAGCCACATCATTTAATTTTCATTAGTTTGATGACTCACGTCATTTGCACAAATTAATGAAGCATTATCCCAACTGTATAATTTATATTTCGTAACAGGTACTTCAGTATGTAATGGTGATTCTGGTGGCGGCATGGTCTTCCCGAAAACAGGATCCAATCCAAACAATCCCGTCTGGCAACTCCGAGGAATGGTATCAATAAGTGTTGCCTTGCAGAATCAATTTAAATGTGATTCGTCTCATTATGTAGTTTTCACTGATATTGCTAAGTATTTAGATTGGATAAAGCAAGCTTTAGAGTTGTGATATAGTTTAAGTTATCAAGTGGATTATTTTAAAATGTATACTATACTTTGTTTTTTTTTATGACAGTGTTATATTTTTAGTTTTGTACATGACTGTAAAAAAAATTGAAAATAAACTATAATTTTTAATTTTTTGTAAATACCTAATCATTGAAGTTATAAACAGGGTGGCCAAACAGAAACGAAACAGAATCGTTCTCAGAAACGAAGTCAAGGGGGGCACTTTATTCATTCGGTACAAAACTTCGAGACAGGATTACGCTGGTATAAGGAATTTATAAAAATTAATAACAACATTTGATAATGAGAAAATATAAACATTTAAATAATTTTAATTTGATGATGATCATTGAACAATTTTTTTTATGTTTTTGGAAAATATATGAGCTGTTTTAGATTTTTTTATTTTTTTCAGGAAATTTATTGAAAACTTCTAAACAATAACTCTTTAGGTAGCCCCCTTCCTCCAAAAAAAGGGCGGTAATCTGGTAAGCGTGAAGGAAATTCAATGCTGCCTCTTCTTCCAATCCAGCGCTGTGGAAAATATTGGTTTGAATACCGATGAAAATTCAAGGAGAAGAGCACCGTCCTGTTGAAACATTAAATAACCATTATATTGTTTATTTAGATCATTTTCCATGATTCTGGAATAGGCGAAAGGCAGCATTTATTGGCGTCCACAGTCACCAGATTTGTTGTCACTTGGTTTCTTTATTTATTATGAAATCCATAGAACATAATATTTCTTGAAAGGTTAGTATAACATAATTGGTCGACGAGTGCCATTTAAGAACTCCAGAAATGTGCGAGAACATTTCAAACATAAGCTGTATAATGTTAATGACACGGGTGATCATCAGTATTTAATCAACAATGTAGCACTTGAACGAATTCAAATTTTCAAATGTAACTTTTTACAAAACTGTTCTGAACAGAATTACCTGTGTTCTTCTTCTCCGTAGTTGACCTCATCTCCCCGTTAAGGTATCGAATATTAAATCTGAAGTTTTCACGGATAGGAATATGCTAAACTGGTTTTTCCAGGTATTTCATCCGTGTATGTGATATCTCTAATTTTACCGACGTTTCGACAAAATCTCATTTGTCATTATCTAGGTGTGCTGTTACGTGTTCAGAAGTTTTTTGACCCTGCTCAACTCACTTCTTACTATACTGGTAAAATGGTATTCCTTACGTGTACAGAGATAGAGTGTCCATAAACTCTCTACTACCTACTACTTAAATGTTGTTGAGTTTTACCTGTGTTCTTCAGATTTAATATTCGATACCTTAACGGGGAGATGAGGTCAACTAAGAAGAAGAACACAGGTAAAACTCAACAACATTTAAGTAGTAGGTAGTAGAGAGTTTATGGACACTTTATCTCTGAACACGTAACGAATACCATTTTACCAGTATAGTAAGAAGTGAGTTAAGCAGGGTTAAAAAACTTCTGAACACGTAACAGCACACCTAGATAATGACAAATGAGCTTTTGTCGAAACGTCGGTGAAATTAGAGATAATATCACATACACGGATCAAATACCCGGAAAAACCAGTTTAGTCGAAAATCGGGATTTTTTATTAGTGATTTTTTTATTGAAAAAATCACTACGCCACTGGATTCTGAGTGCCTATAAATAGGTGTGACCAAAATTTCATGAAAAAATATTCATTCAGCGGATAATCCTAACTGGGTAATAAACTGTAAAAGCCAGTATTCCCAAAAAATCAATGTCTGGTGTGGAATATTGAACGAACGAATTATTGTTCCTTTCTTTTTTGAGGATCTCTTCTCTGTTACAGATTTTTTTAGATGTACATGATGGTACTTTTTTTCTCTCTCCGTTTTTAAATTTATTTTGTCAAGTATGAATAATGTGTTTCAACTGTTCCTATACAACTTCGTTGTTGCACAAAGAAAATATTCATTGTTATTATTACTATTATATTCCAACAACCTATTTCACGTCTTCATCCAGATTTTCAGTTGAAAGTTTCTTCACAAAATTCCCTTTTTTACTCAACATTTTTGTAATGTTTGTCTTTATTTGTAATGATATATTAGGTGTTTATAATGTCTGTATCTACTAATATCAGGTAAATACATTAGTCAATATTTCCAGGAGAGAATTATAAAAAAAATTATTGATTCTTATGCGAAATACTAATGTTTCCGTTGAATAAACTAAAAACTCAGCATATTTGGTGTCTGAATTATTTTCACTACACCTACTAATTATTGTAACGTAAATGCTCTCACAAAGCCTAACTAAAAAACCTTTAGTGTCACAAAGCCTAACTAAAAAACCTTTAGTGTCACAAAGCCTAACTAAAAAACCTATAGTGTTGCTAACAGCATTAGATATACTTAAAAACATAACTTCAATATGTTATCTTTGATTCCGTTTTCAAGACAAAGACCAGTCCAAATATTAATTGAATTTTTGTACTATTTTCAAATGCTTGAAGCTAAGACGATTATATTTCGAATTTCATAAAGAAAAAAGACTCCCCAAAGCGATCAGTTGCAAACTTCGACATCGACCGCCAAATGAGATTCGTCTTCAGTTTTTTTCAGCAGCTTTTACTTCAAGGCAACGCGTCGATATCACGAATGCATTTTTTTGGCTTACCACTTGGTGATTTAAATAGTAAATTCTTGCATGGTAATGATTAAAATAACAATAAATTTATTTTTCAGTTTTAAAATTTATTTTCATGTTCTTTTGTACAAATCATCACAGTCACATTTTCTGGTTAATACTTATTTGGGCAATTCTAAATGCTCTGATTGTTAGGGTCAGGTTCATTTCTACATATCACAGATATTCTTCTGTCTTTATATATCTGTTCACCTTTGAATATACTATTCTCGTTTTTTAAAATTTCATGAGTATAATCAAACCTTGCTATATTTTTCATGATATATAAGGATCTCCTTTGAAGTAAAACATCTGCAAACAAATTTTTCTGTTTATCATGTACCAGTCTCATAACACTATCAGAAAGTAGGCTCAATCCGGCAATGGTTGTTCCACAAAACTAAAAAAAAAACGGTTGATGTGTTTGGTTTTGAATAAATTAGAAACTCTCACCCTAACTGCATCAATATGTGGCTTGATATACCCGTTTCTATCTAAATCTAAGATATGTACATATTTCAATTGGGCTGCATGAGGTGGAAAAGCAATACTTCTTACTCTGTTTATTATTTTTGTGTTATCATCATTCCAATTGAGTCTCTCAGTTTCTCTATAACCGTGTATAGCCTTCAATTGTGAAAGTAAATAGATAAAAAGAAATTTTAATAAAACAAACTTACATCATCCCAGTGATCAAATTCATATCGTAAACGTTTCATATAAGGTTCAATTTCATTCAAAATTGATTTTTCTTCGTCTTCACTGAGAAAATCTTTGTGAACAGTCATACCACTAACTAGCTCCAAAGCCCGTTCAGGATTATCTATAAAATCCTGGGATAAGCTCAGATAATTCGGGATAGTTTCAAGTACTGATATTACTGTGAATTATATCTGATTCAATTCCATTACGAATGTTTTGAATACAAACTGAATTGGAAAAAGTTAGTTTCGTATAATTCAACATTCATATGAAAGTACCTTTTTCGAAAGAATTTTTTTCTATCATGTAATTCAATATTCTTGTGAAAGTAGTCTTTTCAGGAGGGTTTCTTTTTGCATTTTGTATCTGAAAGTAACTTTTATGCATGATCTACACATCTTGGTAAAGAGTTTATTTTGAACTCAATTGCTTTCTTCTTTCCTTTGAATTTTCCCACAACATTTTGTAAAATGATGGAGAAGTGAAAACCAAAAGCTTTTTTCAATATATATGACGTTACAAGTATTAATATAGGCTAGTGTGTCGAACACAAAAAATATATAAATATATACTTGCTCTTTCACAATTTTTTTCTATTTTTAAACAAGCTCGATGAACTACTAAGTTTTAATGCCTCACAAACATTATTGGCACCTCTCTTCATCGTAGAATGAATCCAAAACAAGCATTATTCCCCATCACCAGAAATGCAACACTCTTTTCGAGGTGTTTCACACACCTTTGGCGTCTTCAGGAGATGAAGAAATGTCAAGAGGAGGTTGAGAAAATAATTTTCATACTGAAAGTTACGTAGGCAGTTAGATCCCAAGACTTTTTTTAGAATCTATAGATTCTTCTTAAATGCGTTCTAAAGGCCTTATGCAACATAATATTTTGATAACATTCTTGGGGAAGGTTAAAGAAGTAATCTTCATTTTGACTTTAAAATGGGTCATTAAGTCACCATCCTACACACACCCACACGCATATTTTTTGTTTTCTTCAGAATTCAAAAACAGTTATAGTGCATTTTAGTCGAATTGGGATTTGTTTGAGGGAACATATTATGGGATCCAATAGGTCATATAAGCTGTTAGGACAAATTCTTTATTTTTTCAGAAATTCAGACCAGTGGAAAGATTCTGTGTAAACCAGCAGTCAATATTGTTGCCAGTTTAAGGACTATTTTCACAACTCCCAGAAGTTTCATCAAAAACTTGAGGAATATGTTACGCGAGTCCATTAGGATGCCTTTAATTCAATTTATCGTTTTCTCCGAAGTTCTACTATTTTTCATGTAAAGATGCTATGATTGAAACGCCTATATCTCTGATAATTCAGGAAAAAAATTACAAACTACTTACTCTTAAAAGTGTCATCAAAAATGTATGTTAGAATGACAGTTAATTTAATTTTATCCTCCTGATGCTTCACAGCTATGGTGAAATATCAACTTTTGGTGGACTTTGGTACTTAGTAGTTTTGAACATTTCAGCAAGTAGATTACTTTCCATTTTTTAGCATATAACCTGAACCCTCTGCACTTCATTATCAGAGGATTGATGTTGATCAATTGATCGTCAGCAAAAGTTTTTTCAAAAACGTATGTTGCTTACAGTAACAACAAATTTAAGTGACTTCAGATGTAGGCTGCTTTAAAATTGATTAACCTATTTGCATTCAGCAAACAGATTGCAGCAAACTGGCGTTTCTATAAATTTCAGGACTTGGAAGTTTATATTTTTATTAACTGTCCTAAATACTTCTGGAGAAACTAAGAATGCTCACTGAAACTTTGATAGGCAATTTATTCTAACCCCATTGATCTTTGAAGCTATGATGAAATATCTTATTTTTGGTGGATGGGCTAATCCTACTCTGGTCTGAAAATGCTAGTGATCCGTGACTAGCACACTCTTCAGCTTTCATTGCCTGTGATTCCCGAGTATTAAGAAGCCCAGTATAGAGGCAATCTTTGGTCTCAAATGAGGGTTTACCAACTGGATAGCTGTAATGTAAATATCTCCCTTCACAGTATACTATACATTTTGATCAATTTCTTATGGATCGGTTAATTTTCCAGCCTGAATTGGCCATTCTTGCTTTCCCCATTATTACAAGATTTAAAGAAGGAAAAATCAGGAGTGTCTTCAATACTGCTGCTAGCTAGTATGGATGTCATTGTCGCCATTATACCCAAACAAGTAAAATCTGCTAAGTTATACTGTAACTGATATTATTAAGAAAACGGAATTTATAAATGTCTTTGTATAATAGCATAAATCGAAAAACCAGTTCTCGTTTCATTATAGACCTAGATTCTCACATATATGTATTTTTTGAAGATCATATTAAAAGTTGACACTTTCACTTACATAAGGATTTAGCATTGGCCTCAGAATAAAAACGTAGTTTCCTGAGTAAAAACTTGTTTCTCATAAACTTGAGAGTTACGGTAATATGCATGTTCATTTACTTAATTATCTCGTCATTGTAATATCTCAAGAAAAATGCAAAATCATATCGAACTTATCGAACCTGCAAAGTTAGGTTAGTATTATTGTAGTTCTTCTTCTTCCTCTTTTTCCATTAATGACTTCAGCTGCCAGGAATATCCAGCCAGGAGTTCCAGACTCATGTTGCTATTACAGGTGGAGCCCACACTGAAGTGGATCTGAGTCGGACCCAAATCTCCACCTGGGTTTGCGCTAAAACAAAATTCAACTGTAATTTGAAGTCAATTAACAAAGAATGTCCGACTGCACTAGAGTGTAAGCAGTAATGTGAAGTGATGCACTACGGTAACGTGTATGGACACTACGATCAGGTCATCAAGCACTGCATGCGCACAAGTATTAGGTCTGTCTTGATCACTACAGACTACAGCTTTATATTGGATGCAATCAGGAATTTGGATATGGTTTGTATGTTAGATGGTGATATTTGTTTGAAACAGATATCGTGGAAGGTAAGAGGCTGAATTGCTGAAGGAGGGATGCTGAGAGAGGCATGAAGCATTTATTTGTGTATTATTGTGGTATCATTTTGTTATTATTGTTCACTCTTGTGGCCTAGGCTGCCAAGACATTCGGCCAGAATTTTTTTTACCATATTTATTTACATGGTGCCCTGATAAAATGGCTCCGAGTTATACTCGGAACCCATCTGAATGCTAAAACACAGTTCCTTTGCAATTTAATGATAATATATCATCAGTTAAATCGGTTGAGGCTTTTTCAGCCGAGATTTTCAGTATTGCTATCTTCATTCGGGTTTGAAGACCGTTGTAGTTTGGATTTACTTCCTAACGTTTCGCCAGCATGAGTGGTTTACTTCTTCAGAGGTTTAATCATCTTGATAATTCACCTATGACTGGTGATTTCTAATTTGTAGGTTGTATTTATTTTGACTCAGGTTTATAGTCCGCCTCTCTTGTTGATGCGTTGCTATTGGCTGAAGTGTTATTACCAGTTGATGACATAACATTGCATTGCGCTGTTGCCACTTTAGCATCTTTTGTATGGGATTCCAAATCCGGTTGAGCGTTACCGCCTCGTCTTTCATATTGTAGTTCTTTGTATGTTTGTGGATTTCTATGGCTTCCCGTACAAGTCGACTATGGTATTCATGATTGGTGGCAAGTAGTTTCACATCTTCAAATAGTATCGTGTGATCTCCTTCACTAAGCGCGTGTTCCGCTGCTGCCGATTTGTCTATTTGACCTAATCTACAGTTTCTCCGATATTCATTCAGCCTTGTACCCATTGATTTTTTGCTGGTACCGATATGAACATTTCCGCACGTGCATGGTATACGATACACCCCCGCAGCTGATAATGGATCTCTTTTGTCTTTCGCAGATCTAAAGCTTTGTTGTATTTTCCTGGTGGGCTTGAACACGGTTTTCATTTTATGATTCCCTAAGATTTTTCCGATTCTGTCGAGTCCGAGTCTGTCTGTAACCCTAGGGATGTACAGTAGAAATGCACGTGCAACCGTTTGAGTTTCTTCCCTATTTTGACTTGTGGAAGTCTTCTGTTTTATGGCCTTGTTGATCTCGGTTACACTGTGTCCATTCGATCTAAAAGCCACTTGATTGTAGGTGTTCTGGTTCACATATTCTACGGGCACGTCCGTCAGGGTGGCTCGAAAGTGCATGCAGATATCTGTCCGTATGTGTCGGTTTTCGGTACACTTCATTACCTTCTGTTGGCCAGTGCCGTCTGCACCAGTCGCTGAGCACCATACAGTAACCATGGTCTCTTCTGGTGGGTTTTCGCCTTTAGAAAGTGCCTGTATGGCTCATCGGAGTCCAGCCACTGTTCTGTACGTCTACTATGGTAGAGGATCCACTTTCCATCACACCTGACGATACAAGCTTTTTGATCTCTCAACACGTTTTAAACCAACAGCGTCCTGGATTACTGTGAGTCGATCACTTCGGCGATCATCTTCGAGGCTAAAATCTCCGGAACGAAATTTCGCAAACCAACGTCAAACAGTGCGTTCATTAACACTATCATTGCCAAAAGTTAAGTTTTCGGTCTGTTTTGGCAGCGCTTTGGTTCAGTTTGACATCGTAGAGAAAACTTAGGCGACAATCGCTCAACGATATCTTATAATAATAAGCTAACAAAAGAGGCAAAAAATTAAAATGGACAGAGTCAATGTAAAGAGTACAAAATTCTATATCGATCAGTGTACACCACGACACAGTAGAGTAAATTTTCAATGAGATGGATCTACAAAAACACAACTTTTGACACAACCTAATAATAGAATGTTTTTGTAGAACTTGGCGGGGTGGGGGCCATATCCGGTAACAATAAATCCGGCATACAATGGCTTGGTGAGAACGCATTTAGAATTTGGAGCCATATTGTTTGACACATGCAGAGAAAAACTAGAACAAACGTATATACAAGTTTTCAGAATTATAATATAGTGTATGAAATCCACACCTAGGAACGCCCTACTTGCGGAAGCGGGTGAAATAAATTCAGAATACGAAAGGAAGTGGTTGGCACACTTCAAACCGCCTAGTATAGATATTTTGGGAATATTAAATTTCATAAATGGAAACCTAAACAACTGCTGGAAAACTCAATAAAAATAATATTTGATAGATGCATATAAAATGCAAACTTTCAAGAAGTAACATATATACAGAAAGTAGATATATCAGATTCAACATTTTCAAAAAATGATTTGAATACCAAAAATAAATGTTTATTATTTGGTGAAAAATTCAAAGACGAATATAATTTGATTCATACATTTACTTCTAAAGAAACTAATAGAGTGGGAATGGGAAAAAATACCAATAATCAACTATTCTTTTTTGGCAAGATTGAATGAATACACAAATATATGCGACGCGGAAATAATTGCAATAAATGAAAGCATACGAATATGTATTCAAAAAGAATTATGTAAAAATATAATATTTAGAGACTCAAAATGCGCGATAGAAAGAATTGAAAGTGAGGATACATCAATGAATAATGATTATATCACATTGAACATGAAAGATAAATTGATAACAATTACAAACAATAATAAAATTTTCAAAAAAGCATGGATACTAGGTCATCAACAATTAGAAGGTAATCAAAAACTGATTCTTTAGCGAAAATTAGTACTTGTCTTAATATTGCACTAAACATCTTTATACCCCACCTGAAACAAATGATAAATGTACCATTTTAATGGAAACATCAAATTCAAAATAAAGGCAAGTTGTATTTTGGGGTCCAACCTATCTAGCCAATAAAACCGGGGTACATGAAAATAGCAGATATGGACCACAAACCACCTAATATGGACAGAAGACACATAACGAGTATTAATTAGAATGAGAACAGGGAACTGTAATTGCAAACATCATTTATCTCGTATAGGGGCTAGCAATATTTAGCAATAGTACTTAGGGATTCAAACACAAACATTATTGTAGAAATAACATTTATGTTACCCAACCCATTGAAATTATAGAAAAAGTATCCCTATCCTTTCAAATAAATCTTAACCTATAACTTTATGCTAAACATTCTATATATGATATGTGAAAACACTAATATACCCCCGGCTCACAAAAAAACAATACAAAAAGACAAAAGATATGGAAGAAAATGACAACACAAAGAAAAAAAAAAGAAAAAGAGAAAAAAATTTGTGACGCAACATGAAAGCGGCCTGTGCAAGGCAGGGCAAACTGCATTCTCGGACGAAGCTACTGTTACATGGAGGAGGAGAACTGACCAAATTGCCCGGAAGCAACGGCCAACAAAACAGAGAGAGAGAGAAATTATTTCCGTTACTGCGACAGTGGCTGCTCTATAAGAATACATATTTTAACATTGATCTATGAAATCTTTTGTAGTGTTATACTATACTTCGCGATTAGTGTTTTCTGTATAAGTTCACTAATTTTTCATCATGTCTCGACCACTTCGTAGACGTTGTAAGTAGTTTCATTAAGATTTCAGTACCATGTAACCATTGTATTTCATATTTTAGTAACATTGTGGCAATATTGGAATCCTTAGCAGAGTTTTTAAAAGTCTTTGTTATAGTTTTCAAGTTTTTGATTATTGTTTTACTATATTTTTACATTAGTGTTTTGTGTAAAAGTGTCCACTAATTTTTCATCATGTCTCATCAATCTTGTGGACATTGTAAGCAGTTTCATTGAGATCTCATTACCATGTGATCATTGTATTTATTATTGTAGTAAACATTGTGGCAATATTGGAATCCTTAGACGAGTTTTGAAAAGATCTGTTATAGTTTTCGTGTTTTTGATTAATGTTATACTATTCTTCTGCAATAGTGGTTTGTGTATAAGTGTTCACTAATTGTTCACCATGTCTCATCAACCTCGTGGACATTTTAAGTATTTTCATTAGGATTTCGGAACCATTGTATTTCTTATTGTAGTCAACATTGTGGCAATTTTGAAACCCTTAGGCGAGTTTTTAAAAGTCTTTGTTATAGTTTTCTTGTTTTTGATTAATATTATACTATACTTCTACATTGGTGTTTTTTATATACGTGTTCACTTATTTTTCATCATGTCTTATCAACCTCATGGATATTGTCAGTAGTTTTTATTAAGATTTCAACATCATGTGACCATTGTATTTATTACTGTAGTATATACATTGTGGAAATATTGGAATCCTTAAACGAATTTTCAAAAGGCGTATTTGGATTTGCAATTCGGACGATTTTAGGAGAGTTCAAAATAATTACACATGCAGTTGATTAGTAAGAGTGAACTCGCTCAAAACTTTCC